TTGGTTTGGTTTGGTTTGGTTTGGTTTGGTTTGGTTTGGTTTGGTTTGGGTGGGTGGTTGGGTGGTTGGTTGGTTGGTTGGTTGTTGTCACCCGGGCGTTGCACGATCACATTTTTTCTGTGGGCATTTGGATGCCGAGGAATATATGGTTGATGTTCTCTTCCCATGGAAATTTGTTGGTCCATATTTAGACTTGAAAGAGAGAATGACCACAGCCCACAGGAACAGTCCAACAGTTGATGCCTGAAATGGAAGAATTGAAAGTTCTTTCGCCCAGCATTTCTAGCGCGAAACGATGCCCAGGTTCGGAGCTTTTTCATGTACGACCAAGTCTTCAGGACGTATGGAGGGTCCAGGGACGGGATGGGAGAAGGAATCCGATGATTATCCTCCGGAATGGCGGAACGTGGGAGCCGTTGCAGATCCACTTCATTTTGCAATTGCACAGAGGGGGAAGTAAACTTGACGCCCACAATCAGATGGAGCAGACCGTCTTGGAGCTTTTGTTGCAATCAGGTGCTGATGTTCTGCAGGTCAATGCATTCGTACGGGAACTCTACTATAGGGCAGGCCAGACTCCAACACACCATGCAGATTCGAGACTCACAAGAGAGATTGGCACAGATCCTTCGCCTGTCAAAATCTTTGAATGTCGAGCAGATTGTATTCGCGAATCCTGACGCCGAGCCGAGCGACTGAAATAGAAAGGTAAAGGCCTGGCGCCCGAAGCAGATTACGCTCGGATGTCTTCGTACCCGCATGGCGTCCGCAACTACTCAATTGTATCGGCTAAGCAAAATGCACCTGACCATAGCAGACAAAGCTAGTCAAATTCAAACGGCTACTGCCTCCTATGCGACCGAACACCAAGTTGTAGGGGATAACCATTTCGTTACACTTCCGACGCCTGGCATGTGGTCAGAACAACATACATTTACATGTTCGTGGATCGCATGACGTGTTCTTTCCCCGAGAGTCCAAGAGCCGCTATGGCCGTGGTCATCACCACAGCGGCGTGTTCATTCAGTTATTCCATTACCATCACGCCATAGCCGCGGGGTCCATGTGGTCCTTTGTGTTGTTTGCCTCACCACCTAAGGGTCCATGTGGTGCATTCGCTGCCATCAACGCCTTATCTCATAAAACATCACAGGTGGCTATCAAACGGGCGCTGTGAAACATATTTGGGATAGTACTCAGATGTACTCAGTCTCTGTCTTGAGTCTTGTCCCTACTGCAGCCAACTAGACACACATGCCCACAGATTGTTGGAGTGCCCTTCTTTTGCTCATGTGCGAGACAATCATGCAACAGCACTTGACGCTCTCTCAAAATATCCGCATTTGATGTGGTTTCCCCTTCCAACAGTCCATCCTCAACAGATCGCATATGAAAGACTCAAATTGGACCAGCTGGGACCATTTTTGGATCAGCCAAATATTCATGGAGGACGGAGGGGAGTGTTTCCAATTTTATACAGATGGAAGCGATCTCCCGCAAGACCGGAATTGTTGTCGTGCCTCTTGGGCCATAGTTCAAAAAATCAAGACTAACCATGCCAACCCATCACATAATGACCCATCACATAATGGTTTTTTCAAGCATCCCTTATGCAGGGAGTCAGTCCATTAACCGCGGGGAATTATATATATATATGTATAAGTGCCGTTGAGTGGATAGTTAAGCGCATGTCCCAGCACTATCCTCGCAGTTTTGCCGACAGATACTCCGACTGAAGCTTTACAGTTCATATCGTCGATGCTATCTCCAACGGTATCCTTTCCCCAAAGGACTATCATCTTGCACATGATGATTTAGTTCGTAGCATCAAACAACACTGGGACCCCCTACACTTCTCGCTTCATAAAGTTAAGGCCCACCACTCTTTGTCGCAAGCAGAATCGTGCTCGGACCTATATCATATTCTGGGTAACGAGGCTGCTGATCATGCAGCTAAAGAGATTAACAAGCAGGACTTCCCGATATTTCGTGAGTTGACCCGCAATATCTACTCCCATAGCCATGTTCAAATGGAGATTCTTTTGAATATTGTCCGGTACTTGGCCGAACTCAATACAGTACACGTCACTCTGAAGAGACGAAAAAAGACCAAAGAGACGCTCCAGAGAACCCGCGTAATACGGTTGATGCCTTTTGCCAATTGGGTGAAACGCTTGCCAAGTGGGACGCTGGGTCACCCTCATGGAAATCTGACTGCCCTCTGCCAGATATCGTTCCTTTAGCGTGTTCCGCTGGTGCTGGGGTTGCATTTAAAATGTGGTCCATGTTTCGTACGTTCACTTGTAGGCACCAAGATTGACCTGCACGGCCAGGTGATTTTGGTATCATGGCGCGAACTGGCAGCACGATACACATTATTTACTGGTGAGGGACTCCCTTTGTGGATTTTTGATAAGACAGACCCAAGTCTTAAAACCATATGCTTCTGACTCTGCAGAGGCCAAAATTCAACCCCAAAGCAGCTCGGTCTTTGGGACAAGCAGCGACCCTTCGAGTTGTTGTCCGTGATCTCGAAAATACCTTTCAATGTAAGCTGTTTCCCAGATATAAGAAAACTGGTGCCTCATCGCTTGTTCGACGGGGTTTTGAAGCTTGGTAGGCGGTATGGCCTCTCGTCCGACCATACCAAATGCTGACAAACTTTTCCAGTGCATTAATGAATTCGTCCCTACCAGGACAGCCCGGACAGCCGTACGCCTGTTCGCCTTCCTCTCTCGCCGGTTTCGGACTATGCTGAACCGGCTTTTCGATCACGACCAAGACCAAAAAGTCCATATACGCAGATTCGCTTATTTCATTAAGCCCTTCTTGACTTGAAATATGCAACCTGAATTCGGCCTCTTCTCGTTCCCCAATTCACACGGTCCGGACTAGTCCGTGGGGCTAGTCCGTGAAGTCGCGGATGTGGTTCTTTTTGTGTATTTATCTATATATACCTCGGGCACCCCAGACGTGTCCGCAAGTCCGCAAGTTGTGTGTGGGACGAGGAGGTATTTTCAAGAGTTGCTTTTGCAAGGATGCAGGATGCAGGTTTGTTCCAGATTTGTTGGAACTTGAACATTTTGCAGACGCTATCCATGAGTTCATATGCACTGAGGTTTGAGTTATCTCTGTCAGGTCCCAATCACGATTTGTTGCGTTTGTTGCGTTCGCCGCTGAACAATCTGGACAATCTGCCTCAGGATGATCAATTTCGTCATCTTCCTGCTCTCTGGGTGTTACTTGGCACCCTTGCAGAGCTAACAATCGAACTCTGGAGTTGACGAACGTGTGAAAACAAAAAGACAAATTCATACAATGCTCAGTCAAAAACAACATGTGTAATATTGTAATGTCATATGTAACATATATATATATATATATGTATCATTATTAATCATTATGTATCCAAAAATCACCCAGGCTGGCTTTTCAGAAATTCAACTGCACCTGGGCGAGTCACCCGGCGATTAGAACGTCTCCACAGATAACTGGGTGAGAGTCTGGTTGAACGGGCGAACCCCAACATATATATATATATGTTTGTTTCATGTTGTTCACGGTCTTTCACTATATGTAAGAACATGGGTGTGAATAATTCCATGATGGGTACGAGATTGGTGCAGACACCACTGTGGGTCATATTTGGGGGAGCTGTACAACTACATTCCCCATCAGAACTCACTCTGAATTTTCACTGACTGTTTTTGCAACTGCGCAGCTAAGAGTTTCAAGGGATGTACACATGCGACATGGGCATAGCACGGACATGTTTTGGGCCGAGGCTTTCTGAACCAGATCTCGGTCATGGAGGACCCAGTGTGGCGTGGCTGCTCCGGGGCTGTCAGACCACTGGCGACCTCACTGGAAGACCCGGACGGACCGACACCCTTGAGACCGGGTCATTTGTGTACCAAGCACCACCGACATCAGATCGTTGCGCGGGGCGGTTGATGGGCCATGATGGGCTGTGAACACAGCACGGGCCCTGGGGCCCCCCCACGCAAGGGTGAGGCCGAACGCAAATAATGAAGCCATGCCAGGTCCCATCTGGCGACGATTGGGAGGATGTTGGATGCAACATGCAACTTCTTTTCACAAGCCAAATCCGGTGTGTTGATGCCAAGAATCCCCGCATCGAATGCACCTACAATTCCGATGCAAATTTAGATTCCAAAAAATAAATCGCAAACACCAACCTAATAGCAACGGCGTCCAACCAAGAAGCAATGGCACCCACCCTACTAGCGATGGCCTCCAACCTAATAGCAATGGCCTCCAACACCACCTTGTAGTCACTTGGACCCAGGGCCAAAGCGGCTTTGCCAGACCCGAACAAGACTTATTTGGAGATCTAGAAGGCTTGATTATGTGTCAATTTCTCGGATAGGTGCAAAGCACAGGTGAACAGCTCAGACTGAGCCTCACTGATGCGAGTGTAATGGTGATTCTTTTTGTGGACCACGAACCTGGGTCAGAAGATGTAAGACGCAATACAAATGCATGCCACTGATACTTTTTATCTCAAAGGATGCTTTGTGCATTTGTCTACCTTGTTTGGTCTATTTTTCCTCTTAGCACTTCAGGCAATGCACTAGACGAATAACACTTAACACTATACCTATTCTTGTACCTTCCCAAAGACTACAGAACCTCAAGAAACGACTCCCCGACTCGACTCCCGAAATGCAATTCAAAGCAACATAATTTGGTTCCACTGTCAATATAATTTTTGCCGCCGCATTGTAGTTCTTTCTCGGAACCCTGGGAAGGTGAGAAAGCGGTTAGGGAACCACAGGCTTTATGAACTTAGACCACAGATGCCTCGAGCTCAACTAGAGCTCTCTAATGGAGCCAGCATAGCCTTTGATAGATCCATGTTCATTAGAGCAATCAAGAGATATTATTGCAATTTATTACATCGAGTGTTTTCTTCCTTCTTCAAACGTCCATGGTCTTTTTCTATGTGAACAACCGTCCAACAACGGTGGCGACCTCATGACCCGAGGAAGTCCAAGTTTCTGGTGGCCGCACGGCTTTTGGTGTACACCATGGGCTTTGGGAAGTTGCTCTACTCGCACATCTTGGAGCTCTACACCTCAACCTGGCGCCAGGAGCTTGGTCTGCAGAGAACAGGGAGAACCATATGTATATAAAACAGAGAGAGAGAGAGAGACAGAGATGATGGAACTCCTTTGGAGCGGGTCTCCATCTTCAAATTTGCATTTATATTCGGAAGTTTGGACATAAGTCGGTTTGGGATGGTTTGGGTTGGTTTTCCTCAAGTCCGAGGAAGGATCCTGGTTTGGGGAGGCATCTCCCCATCCACAAGAGGTACAACCGGAGATTTGGTTTGGATGGCTGGGAGTCCAACACAGTCCAATCACCCTGGTTTGGAGAAAGCCCCTCCATGTTGTATGTTTCTGGCAGACTGACAGTCAGACAGTCCCAACGCGCCTTCGAAGCCCCTTCCAATGAGGGTCCATTACGCCATATTCGACCCTTGGCACGAGCCGTTCAAGTGTCTATGGCGCTGTTCGACTCTAAGCCCCAGTGGTGAATGGAAGCAGAATGAGGACGACAAGTATTCATGTGTCCTTGGGTTTCTCCACATTTCTCCAAATCATGTCAACATATTTCAACTATTCAACAAAATGTATCGTTTTGGGGTAGTCATCCCTGTCCCTGAATGTTCCCCCCAAAGAGGATACCGTCTTTTCCCACATACCAGGAGTGGAAGATCATTCTCGGGATGCGGATCCCCACTTATCTCTTGAAGAGCCCAGAGATGCTCAGCTTTGTGCTGATGATCAACATGGCTTCTATGATCACCGTATCACGGCGGATAGGGAGCATGATGATGGGAGCGATTCACAGAAAAAGTTCCTAAGAGCGTGTGAGCCGCCCCCAAAGTTTGGGTGGTTGTTTATGCTCGGCTGCTTTTTTCCGCTCCACTAAAAGGAACAATGCAGACCTTTGCTGGAGGAGCTAGAAGATTATGGTCCGTGTCCGTGTGGTGTTACTGAAGGTGAAATAACCCTAGGACTAGGACTCTCCAAACAGGTCCGAAAGGAATGTTTTCTAGCTTCTTTGGTATTTTTGGGTGGGAAAAGTGTGAAGGTAACTGTCAGCCCCAAGTCAAAGACGGTTAAATCCGAAAATCGAGCAAGAACAAATCATGACTACACTACTTCTCTCATCTTGACACAGCCCTCCAGGCAGGACTAGGTAGCTTGTTTCCATCTCCAAGGCGATGGGAATTCGGGTAATTCATGGACAAGGACACCCAACATGATACAATCTATATTCCAATAGGGTCCCCTTAGGAATTCAAACCGACACATGCTTGGATAGGTTCTTTTTGTCAGAGATGCATGTGTCATGTGCCTCGTTTCTTGGGGATTTCACATCTTTGGCTGTTTGCTGTTTGGCTGCTACTTGACCGGTCGCTGTCGCGGCGGATGTCCGTCTCCAGGTCGAGCCCATGATCCATTGCTTCGGGGCCTCGCCGGTGGCTGGGGCGGCGATGTGCTCGGTCGGCCGGGTCCGGTTCTGGTCCGGTCGGGGGGTCGGTCACGGTCGGAGCCGGAAAAGCTGTCGCAGTCGGTCACTGGTTTGGATCAGGTCATGATAAAAGGAGATAGACAGCTGTCAACAAGAACAACTATAGGTCCAATGAGTTCCAGAGAGTGTGGGGGGAATGGTCCATGCGTGTTGGATTTGTTTGTTTGTTTGTTTGTTCAGAGTCTTTTCCATATTTCGGGTCCACGCGTGGGTCCGGCAGCGCTCATTGAAACCTTCGGATGGACGATTTGTGGGTCTTGTTGATGCTGGTTTAAGGCTTGGAGGTATCCATACATAAACAGGAACCCATCTCTATTCGCTCAGCACATGTGTCATTGGCCTTTCTGTCCCCGGTGCCCTTGGTCTGTCCTTGACCGATGCCTCCTCGTGAACCTCACCGGGCCGAGGGTCGAAGGGACCGGGTTTTCGGTGGGTCCGGACGACCGAACCGGTGGTTCGATCGGTGTCAGGCGAAGCTTGGCCGATGGGTCTGGACCTTGGTGGAGCGTCATTGACTAAAGAACCACACATACCTTTGTGGCCCAGAAGAGACCCTCAGATGTCGCCTAAGACTCCATTCGGACTCCTTCGGGCTCACAGAGGACCCAACCCCTTCGCCAGCGGGGCTCATTTCGTTCGAGTCGTTGACCCGAAAACCCACCGTCGGCGCCGGGCCAGTCGGACAGGGCCCGGTCGGGAAACGGGCGTACTTCCGCCGTCGGGAGCGGTGTGGTTCGTCCATCCGAGGACCTATTTGCATTCACCTGTGAATCCTGGACCGATCCCATGAGCCACTGGACTGACCGGACTTTGGAAACGGGATGAAACGGGGTGACGCGGTGGTGAGGAATCTTTTGAGGGGATCGGTTTTAGCAATCCTTTGCTGAACATGCCAAAACTATAGGAATGAACTCTCAAGATGCAATGAATGGGTTTGATAATATGGTTTGATGAGTTCCTTTTCAAGCGTTGAGTTGCCCGGCGGTGGTTGATCCATGCTCATGGTCGACGTGGCCTGCATCAGGATGCTTGGTGTGTGTGTGTGTGTGTGTCACAACCTTTGCTGACCATCATCGTTGCCAGTGTCGATGCGATGTCTTGATTTGCCCCTAGCCCCTTCGCCATCCTTCGCCTTTGATTCAGTTGGTTGAAAGAGGCGATGCTTTGACAGGGACACAGTCTTCCTCACGAGTTGGTCTTTGTTCGTTGCGGTGCTGAGTAGAAGTTGGCTCGAAGAAGTCATACCAAAGAGCAACACAGGGCGCTTTGTGCAAATCTCATTGGTACAGGACAAGCTCACAGATCAACTTGGTCCAGGGGGAAGTTTGAAAGTGAGGATTAGGATGAAATAGGTTAATTATACAATATGTATGCATACAATACTCTTATAGAATAATATATACAGTAAATGGGGCAAATGTATGTAACTATTCCAGTCCCATGGATGGTCTGGGATACTTCAGTAGCTCGAACGGTTTATCCCTACCTGCCAGGTGAGGGTAGCTACATTTTATCACAGCTGTCAGCTCCGCCTCCTTCTCCGCTCCTCCTCCTCCCTTTGCTGCGAGCTCCAGAGTGCAGTGGGCACCGCCGGACTTGAAACACGAATGCTAGATGCCAGTGGGCACCACCGGACCCAGCTTTAGTGCAGCAAAAATAGGTCGGGGTTACCAGAAGGGTTGTCATGCCTTGCCATGGCAAACATCCCACAACAATCCAAACCACATCTACCATGCCATGCTTTTACCATGACAAACAATAGTGCCCAAGCTGCTGAGTTGAACACTGCCCCTTGTTTGACCGCTCAGTTCTTGTGAACAGGCTTTGTCAACCCAAAGAACTTGTGCTTTGCTATTACCGTTTTTCGGGCTTGGATTTGGGCTGGTCTGCATGTGTCGGATGCTACAGTCTTGTGGGTGAAGACCGCACTTGCCGTTCAAGAGGCATTGAATGGTCCACAGCAGGTTCATTTGCTTAATTTGCAAGTGTTGACGGAATTGTGGCAGGTCTTTTCTCCTGATGTGCATCAGGACGTTGCAGGTTCCTTCATGCTCTCACACGACTTTCGGGTACAAAATGCTTGCAGGTGTATACTTTCATGTCACTCGAGGGATTTAAGAACAGAGAGCGGAAATACCCCTTAACATTCAGTTTCCTGTTGAGGACGATCCAAAATCGCAGCTGGAATCTTTTTTTAACTCTTGGAGCAATGAAGCGGGTGGCCAACACTTGCATGGGATACCAGAGATGGTCGTTTTGCACTTAAGATTTGCAATCCGTGATGGACCAAGCATGACTTGCGCTCAATGTGGCTTGCTGTGTAGGCCTACCTAGCTCCCATGATGGTGTTGAAGTCAAGCAAGAAACCTTTAGGGTTACTATGGGTTATTGCATATTTGTTGCATCATGGCCTTGATCATGAATCAGGGCACTATACTCTTGCTGTTTGTGATGGGACTTCCTACTCGCATGCTGATGATGCTGTGCGCCCCACCCCTCTGCCAGCAATCAGTCGCAAAATGACAGGTGAAATTCTGCAGGTCTGGCTGGTTCACGAAACTCCTGCAATCCGCAGCACTGTTGCTGTACCAGCGCCGCCTTCAACTAAGAATGTTCACTTTGAAAGTGCGATTGTCCAAATGATGGTCTCCAACCTCACTTGCTGTGGGGCTGCTGTTGTTGATGGGCCTTGGAACCATCATCATCATCATCATCAGATGATTCAATGCAACACCAACAACTTCTCCAGTATTTTGAGTGAACTTTTCACCTTGTGGATCATTGCATTGTGCAAGGTGTCGGTTGGGTTATGTTAGACTACCAGGGACTGCGTGCAGCAACAAGTGTGTCCGACAATTGGGAAGTTCCTTGGAAGCCTCGTTGTGCTTTGTATCTGGTCATGGGTTTGAAAGGGTCCTTTCAACCAGTACCCCAGCTTCTCAAATTCCCAAGCATTATCAGGAGTTTTGTCTTGCAGAGAGATTGGGCCCCATTTTCACCTGAAATTGCTCATAGTGATGTTTTCGGTCGCGATTTGTCATTTGCAGGGCCCAAGGCTGAAAGATACCTCGTGCAAGGTGTGAAACAACCGCCAGGCCGAGGCGCCACGCCCAAGATTCTTCACCATCCTTTGGCGCCTGATCGGTGCACTAGCTTGTGGAAACGAGGTGCATAGGCTTTTTGGTGTCAATTTAGATCCCAACAGGGTTTCCACAGGGCAGAACTTAAGGCAGCCATGCTCCGCGCTCTCAACAAAGCGGGGCAATTCAAGCAAGAAGACGGCCAACTTCCAGACTTTTTCCAACTTTTGTCTAGATACCTTGAGAGCCCTCCGGGGACTCGTTTTGTCAAGTACACGTTTTTTGTTTTTCATCAAGAATCAAGAGCTTCAAGCCAAAAAGGTGATGACAGCCGAGCAAGAGCTGGATTACAAAACCTGGCTCCAGGAAGGGCAAAGTGATGCTGATCAGCCGCTGTTGAAATGGAGAAGCCCAATCGACTGCTATATGGCACCGTGCGCCCAGGCCGGCTCACCCTGACAAAACTGATGAGGTCAGGTCAACTGCGAGCGCGCAAGCGTTGGCTTTGGGACTTAATGACCCCAATTTGCTCCAGCGTGTTTGCCAGCCACTGCCTCAGAAAGCGGTTGGCGGTTGGCCCTGACAGGTTAGTTTAGTTTTGATATGTTTTGACGCATTAAGACAGCAGCCCCTAGCTGCATATGAGGCGCTTGCTACTTGAATGCATGAGTGGGAGTGTCCAGGCAGAATGCTTGATCAATTGACTATCTGCCTAGTTCATTTGATTCCAAAGAACACCTCCATCATTGAACGCCCAATAGGGCTGACGTCTACATTGTCTCGGCTGTGGGCCAAAGGACGCAAAAAACTTTTCCAGGCTTAGCAAAGTAAGCTACATCAGGTGTGAGTCCGTGGGACTTTGCCAAACCTAAGAGCAAAGTTTTGCAGTTGGCCCTGGGTAGATTGCTGGAGGCAGAGATGGGTCGTCGCCGTGGACTCCATACAGTCACTCTTCTTGCTGCTTTGGTAATTTGCACGATCGAATTGACCTCAAAGCCATGTTGGAAAAGACCCAAGCCCTGTGTTGTCCGCCTCTACGCTGCTGATTTGTATTGCGGCCTTCGTTTACTTCAAGCTGAAGGGGGTCACTGGAGCACCAGCTTTTTACCAGTGTGGAGTTCTCCCAGGTTGCCCACAAGCCCCACTTACTACACAGACCGTTGTCTCAGTTTGCCCGTCAACACCCTGAGGCGGGGTTGGCCACTTGGGTTGACGATGTCAGCCATGATGTCGTCTCCACTAGTCCTGTTGCAAGCTGCGCAACAAGCTGCCATGGCATTCCGCACTCTCCGATCGTCAATGTAGCCAAGACAGGGTTTTTGACAAGTTCAGCTGCAGCTGCTCGAGGGCCCAGGTCTTGTTTGCAGGATGGCGAGCCAGCTGTTTTCATGTGACGCGTGACTTATAAGGCCTCGACACGACAAATGGTCGACGCCGCCGCCATGATGGTAAGGTTCGTTATAGGTTGCCAAAGGCCTATCGCGGTCCGCGAAACTTCGCGCTCTCCGCATTGCAGAACACAAAATTAAGCTGCGCTGGTATACAAGGGATGCATTCATTCCACATATTGTATGGTTTGGGGCGTAGAGGCTGCGGGGTTAGCGCCGCGCCGACAGCGTACGTTGAGGGTTGCTCTAGGCAGAGTTTTGCATCTCCACTCTGGAGGAGTCTTGACATTTTGTATACGAGGTGTAATAATCCAAGACCCGGCTTATACCATTGTACTTCAGCACTTTCGCGCTGTCCATGAATTGTTCCACCGGTTCCCTGATAGTTTGCGCAAACCTTTTTGCCAAGCTTGGAGCGCTTCTTTAAGTGAGCTTCTTAGAGCACCACACCCTTGCTGCTTTGCACTGTTCTTTGTACTGTCTGACTTTCCAAAAATTTGCCGAGACCTGCGGTTCCGGGCTTTCAGTCTGTCAGTTTAGATTTTGAAAGCTATGGCCAGAGGTCAGGCATGGCCTTGAGCATGAGTTGCGGGTTCAGCGGCTCTTGCGTATTCGTAGGCTCTAAAGTTCTTCCTTGTCAGGGCTGTTAGCTTGGACCATCACAAGGCATTTTGTCAAAAATACTTCCAATCTTACTTTGCACGACCTGAAGGCAACCAGCTCCCACGAAGAATCGTCTTGCGATCAGACGGTGGGTGATGCCAGATTGTTTTCTTTGTGCCATAGGCACCTGGCGAGCTACGTAGTGCAAAAGAAAGTAAACAGACTTTACCTATGCCCCCGACAGTATCAAAATTGACAAACATTATTAGAATGCCTGTATATATATATACACACACATATATGGACGATAGACGCTTTCTAGAGCAATATAGCCGGCGGTTCTCAACAATATATATTAGCCATGGTGGGGATCATTCAAAGTAAGGAAATCCCTCGCTTGAGGCGCCATAGGTGTGCTGCAGGATTTTAAGGGAAAGGGTTGTCAATTTAGAGCTTTCCAGATTTTTGTTAAATTCTGGCTGTGTACGGAGATAGATCTGGGTTGGTCTGTGATTCTTCAGTCTTCATGGATGAGAAACGTACCCAAGGGGCTTTGCAGCCCTTCGATCCGCTTGGGATCTGTGGGCGTCTCACCCAGGTGTGGCTTACGAATTCTTCCTGGTCGTCGGAATTTTTCTGCCGCCAGAAGGCATTCAGAAAGGCTATCAATAGGAACTACCGGAACACTGATACATTGTTGGTCGGCACCAAAGACAAGTCAACCAAGTGGCAGTTCAGAGTTGAATGAGGATGAATTAGGGGTTGTGAGGCACTTGCATCCCGGACCAAAGAATCACGGTTGGGCGTTTTTTTTGATCAAGGGATATCCCTTGGGTCTGTCTCATTACTTGTAATCGTCGGTGAACAATATCACTATTTTTGATAAGGGCCTTTACAAACCATCATCGTCCACTGTTACTGGTCATGGGATATACCCAAGTGGAGGCGTGGTTCACTGACCCTCTTTGGGGACTCTACTAATTAAGACTTTTTGTATAAGATTCTTTTACGGCACGGCGCGCATTCGGGAACTTCCGCAGTGAAAATTTGGGACTGAACGTGTGACCGACATTCACTATTTGTGTTTGCGTGTATTCAGAATCATAGCTGACCGAAATGTCGATCTATGTAACCACTCATTCAACCTTCAGTACTTCAATATAGAGAGTTGCTGAGTGTGACGATCCCATGGCACTTTTGCCTAGGCAGACTAGTTCCATGACTATCGTGGAGAAGGACATGACCCTGACCCTTCAAGATCCTTTTAGATCTTTTTAGTTTCCAGATTCATTGGCCACAGGCTTGCTGGTATCGCAATGCCATACAAATTTGTGTCCAATAGCCAACACGCCACCGCCGCCTATCAAACATGTGCAACGACTAGGCCCACGCTATCAAGTGTGTGCCAACGACTAGTTGGTATAGAGGCATCCTGGAGCCTCCAACGTGGAAAATGAGAGCCCTAAAGCCTAAAGCTCTTCAAGACTGCCCATTTTCAGGTGCAAACCTAGGATTCAACCGATCCAGTAGCCCGGCTGCATGCGGAAACCCGGTTCTTGCAGTATCTTGCCGTCACCGTGTGGCCGTCCCATCCCCAACGAAGAGATGAAGTAATCCTTCAGTGCGGCACATCCGTGGTATTTGGGCAGGGGAGAGCTTTCTTGGCCTTTCATTCCCATCCATCCCGACACCACAAGGCCCTTGAAGCGCTCCCCCTGGGTGCCTTGAAGTGCTGGCCGAATGATCGTCAGGTATGTCCTGTTGATCTTCGGCATTGGCAGTAGCATCTCCATCGAGATCTCCGAGTACCGAGTCTTGTGTTTGAAGGCCGTGAAGCAGGCGGCTTCCGGCCGTCCAGATCCGTCTGAAGCGGCCACCCTCAACCGCCAAAAAAGCCGCTATAGCGGTGGGAGGTCGGCGAGCTGGGAGTCCAGATCAGTCGACCGCGAAGCAGTGAAGTCTCTAAAACTTGTTCCCAGACACTCCATGGGACTGCCATATATGCCGATCAGTTGGGGTGGTGCCAGGGGGGTTCAATGTAGGCATATATGGCATACATGGAGTGTCTGGGTTTGGGTCTTTCGCGCAAAGGTATTCAATCTCATTGACATTGATGAATCCACCATCGGGGGGGGGGTGTGAATCAAGAGTCTACATGACCTCCCACCCAAGGTATGCTTCAAAGCCGCTCAGGGGTGAGTGTTCACCAGTGGATTTCCAGGAATTCCCAGGCGTCAGACATACCGCTGAGCACCAATCAATTTCCAAACATGCGTGTCACCTACAACGCCAACGTCGCGAAAACACCCTGTGAGACTGAGTGTGACATAGTCTGACACCTCTTTTATGTGTGTTTTTTGTGTGGGTCTCACCGTTTGACCTTGCTGAGCCTTGCTGGCCAGGTGATGCTTTGCTTTGGTGTTGTCGTCTTGGCCATCTTCACCTTCGCATTCGCCATCACTGCTATGACTCGTGAGGTGCGCAAAATTGCGCTTTGTTTTCGTGTTCCGCTATTCCGGCCAATTCGGCGCAACAAAGAAAGAAAGAAGGCCATTCACACGGGATGAGATTTGAGCGATCTTTTTAGAGAATGATCTCATTGGTCCTGCAGAGATGCTGCAATGACCTACAGATAGACCTGCAGGGAAAAACACGCAAGTCTTTTGTAGGGCGAAGTCGTCAAGCTCAACGGTGACCATGTAACTGTGGGTCAAAACTCCCCAGTTCACCAGCGAACATGAACAGAGAGTCCTTGCCTCTGGAGCAGGACGTTCTGCTGAATCTTGGTCTTTTCCTTTTGATCGTCTTCTGTAGCTTTTAATTTGTTGCTGGCCCTTTCTTTGCCATCTCCAATTTGATTTCTGAGCATTCATCGATCTGTGTGTCGTGGATGCGACTTTCCCGCTGACCGGATTGTCTGCGAGTGAACAGAATAGACCACCGTTTCGGTTGTGGGCTCCGATTTTGACCCAGAGCCATGTTGCAACACCCACGTGATTTTTTGTTTTAGATAGGATCTCCAATCAAAGGATCGTCTTATCTTCCCTACTCGAGTATTTGGGAGTTCCAACTTCCAAGACACCCTAACCGCTAACCGCAAGTGAAGTGGAAGACGGATTGGTCTACAATCTTTGTATACAATCTTTGCGTGCCCTGACTGACCAACCATCAAGCGGGTTCATTGTTCTGCTGGAGATCTTTTGGATGTGAGCCAAGAGTATATGACGAGTGGAAGATTCTTGGTAAAAGCCCCAGAGCCATCCCGAGCCAGTTAAGACTCCACAGCAGATTTCAAGAATGTCTTCACCTGATAGGCTGAGTCTGGACTCAGAACTGCATGGAGTTCACCTGGTTTAAAAAAAAAAAAACAACAACACTACGAACATATAAAACATAACAATCGTAACAGTTACAGTCGTTACAGTATGTCACAGTATGTTTTGATATACAGCTTGCGTAAATAGGTTGAGTTTTCCATTTTAAGAGGTAGAGCCAGAAGTAAATTATTGAAAGGTCCACACAAGCCGAATGTGACACAAACAACATGGAACAGTGAATATTCTTCCTGTTTGACTGACAAAGCTGACTCTAGGCATACTGGCCTCATGCTGGCACAGGAGTGAGGATATCTATTATTACACAATGTCTCTCTCTATATATATATTATATACAAATGCACAGAGAGGTGTCAGAGGTGTATACATATACTGTATATGGATAGAGAGAGAGAGAGAACCTGGAAGCAACCTGAGCACTCAACCAGGGCTTGACACCAAGTCACCCGTTGAAACCTCCATTTAGAGCGGTCCGGTTGAATCCTTGAGACAAGACGACACGACGTCTGTGGAGTCGGTGCTGCGCCCGTTGCTCGATCATTTGCAGGTTGCAAACCTCTCAAGCAATGAGCCTTGACCAAAAGATACCAAAAGTGATTTGCTCAACTTGGTCCTTTCCCGCACTGGCAGTAACCCAACTTGTTGGTGGGTGGACTCAGGGAAATCCACCTTTCTGGTTCTACCTTCATTCCATGAAAACGACGCAACAAACATAACAAACAGTACAGGCTTCGAACATTGAACACCATCATGGGTGTCATTGTTTGCACATGATCTATACATGATGCGTATTTGTAATTTCTGTGCGTTTCATCAAATGGGCTACCCTTCGCACCCCTACACCCCTTTCGCACCTTCACACGGGTGGTTCTTTCGAGGGGATTCTTCTTTCCAGTCACTGAGATGACTGGCCCGGGTAGATCGGGTAGCTGATGTTGCAGCTGGCCCCGGCCCCGGCCCGGTCCTGTGAAAACATGATCACTTCCAACAGAGGTTGAATGACCCTATAGACTATCCCATAGGTACCTCAGTAGGGTCCTATTATTTACGGTCACTTAACCTCTCTTGTTTTTTTGTTTGGAGGATACTTGTCCGATTGATGCAGTCCATTTGCTTATCATGATGTTGTATGTCGCGACGATACCTGATGAGATACGTATACTGTATACGCAGCACACCACGAATTCGTGCAACGGACACCGAAACGAACAGCGGACCCTTGGGCCGCCGAAAAGGCATGTGGATCACTGAAGGGTTTTGTTTCCAATGAAAGCGCACTGGGGCGGGGCTGTGATGGGTTCGTTGTTCGATGTTTGTTCAGGTTTGACTGGGTGTTGGAAACCAGTTGTTATAGAAAAGAACCACACCTGGTGTTAGATTGTAGACTGTTGATGAAGAAAGCTCCCAGACGAAGAGGTCTTTGACATACAATCCCAACTCAACAAAATACATGGATGGGACTTGATGAATCAACAGTCTACAATTCGTTGATTCTCAGTTCAGTCAGACTGGTACGACCACCCTCCTCGCGTACTACGCGCTACGCGCGCCCTGCGCAACTCTTGGGGGGCGTGGAACTTCGCCGGTTGGTCACCGCACCGATGAAGTTCCGGATTCCGCGGTGAGGAATGGACGGACATGGGAGCGACCATGACCAATTTGATCCAACTGGCCGTGGGAATGCTGGACTTGGACACTGGGCAGAAATGGGCACAGGAAGAAGAAGGAACCACAGGTCGGGTCGAGGGGTTTGGGGCGGAGGATGAGAACGTGCAATGTATTGAATTTACTTTTGTAAGGAGCCCCCGGACCATGTAGCTGTGTAAAGAATTGTATATGCTCTCGAAAGTCCTAAAGCAAAGGCACCAAACAGCTGAGTGGAAGATAAGAAACAACAGGATGAACCTGCGGCAATGTTATTGCCGAGTCAAAAAAGCGCAAGTCGGTGCTGAAAATTTTGTGCAAACAGTCATGTTGCAAAAACACACATGTATGTGTTTCGTACATGTTTGTACTGTTTAATTCCCGAATGCATAGCGAAGGGTTCTCGTTTAACTCTGGGGGTCTGGGGGTATAGAGCCTTGTTCGCGACTCGTTGTCGTAGCGTTCGCAACCATTGTCAACCTTTCGCAAGTGTTCGCAACCCTTCGCAGTAGGGCGCTATGGCGCTCACATTGAAGCTTTTGGATGGAAGCATGACGCGTCAGATTCGTGTGAAATAGCGAGGAAACGTGTGGAAACGTGAGAGGATGAAGTGATGTGATTTCACTGCGCAGGCGCAGCGGTTTGTGCATTTGCAGATTCTTCTTCGCAGTCAGGTTGGGATTGGCGTTTGGAGGGTGGTGTTTTGGGGGTGTTGGATGTGGCTGTGACATTGGGATTTGGCTTTCATGGAAGCTGTGTTTTTGTGACAAGTCTCAGCTCAAATTATGGCGACTTGGGTGGGTGGGAGTGTGCTCAGAACGTGTCGAAATCGTTCCAAATGTGTGGCTTGGCAAATTTTGCTGAATCTGACATGATATAATATATAGTCACTTTTTGTGGCAGGCGCAGTACTTTGTGCGGTATTTGAGGTGTGGAAGTGCAATTTTCGCGGCAGGCGCAAGGAATCGTGAAGTTACGGGGTGTGGCGGTGGCCACATTTCGTGGCAGGCGCAGTATATACTTTCTGTGTGTTGGAGGTGTGGACGCGCGAATTTGCGTGGTACGCGCGGAGGTGATTGTCGCTGTGACAGTGGGGTTGGCATGTGAGCGGGTGTTTTCTGGAGGGGTGGAATCGCGAAACTGCTTGGCAGGGCTGCTTGATGCGCGTGCTCCGATGGGCCTTCCCGCCCCGCTTGACTTTTTGAGGATATCTCGCGCGAAACGCTCATTTTGGAGACCTGACGGGTGATTTTTGGAGACTTTAGTAGTAGTGCCCCACAGGAGTGTCCTACAGAGCCCTACAAGAGTGTCCCACAAAACTGTCCGACAAGAGTGTCCTACAAGAGTGCCCCCCCACACGAGTGTCCCACAAGAGTGCGCGACAAGAGTGTTCCACAAGAGTGTCCCACAAGAGTGTCCTACAAGAATGTCTGCACAAGAGTGTTCCGCAAGAGTGTCCCACAAGCTTGAATGTCCTACAAGAGTGTCCCACACGAGTGAGTGTCATACAAGAGTACTCCACAAGAGTGTCCTACAAGAGTTTTTCCACAAGAGTGTCCCGCAAGAGTGCCCCACAAGGGTGACCTACAAGAGTGTCCCGCAAGAGTGACCTACAAGAGTGATAAACAAGAGTGTCCGACGAGAGTGTCCTACAAGAGTGTCTCACGAGAGTGTCATACAAGAGTGTCCTGCAAGAGATTCCTACAAGGGCGTTTCACAAGAGAGTCCTACAAGAGTGTTCCGGAAGAGTGCCCCACAAGAGTGTCCGACAAAAGTGTCCTGCAAGAGTGCTCCACAGGAGTGTCCCACAAGAGTACATGAGTGTCCCACAAGAGTGTGCCACAAGAGTGTTCCGCAAGAGTGTCCCACAAGAGTGAGTGCCATACAAGACTGTCCCACAAGAGTGACGGACGAGAGTGTCCTACAAGAGTGCCAAACAAACGAGGATGTCCGACAAGAGTGTCCCACAAGACAGCGTCCTACAAGAGTGTTCCGCAAAAGTTTCCCACAAGAGTGAGTGTCATACAAGCTGTCCCACAAGAGTGTCCCACAAGGGTTTCTCACAAGAATGCGTCCTACAAGAGTGTCCCGCAAGAGTTTCCCGCCAGAGTGTCCTACAAGAGTGTCTCGCAATGTGGTGCAAGAGTGTAGTGCGAGAATGTCGTACGTGAGTGTCCCACGAGAGTGTCAGACAAGAGTGTCCCGCAAGAGTGGCCGACAAGAGTGTCCTACAAGAGGGTCCTACACTCTTGTTGTCCCACGTGAGTGCCCTACAGGGGTGGCGCAAAAGTGTCCTACAAGAGTGTCCTACAAGTGTCCCACAAGAGTGTCCCACAAGCCTTAATTTCCTGCAAGAGTGTCCCACACGAGTGAGTGTCATACAAGAGTACCCCACAAGAGTGTCCTACAGGAGTTTTTCCACAAGAGTGTCCCGCAAGAGTGCCCCACAAGAGTAGCAACTTGTAGCACAAATGTAGTGCGGGAAGCAGCTCCTGGGAGCTGTGGGCCTCAGAACTGGCCACTTGGTAGTACACATGTAGTACAGAAAGCAGCTTCTGGGAGCTGCGGCGTCAGAACTGGCAACTTGTAGTATACACATGTAATGCGAGAAGCAGGTTGTGGGAGCTGTGGCCTCAGAACTGGTAGTGCAAATGTAGTGCGGGAAGCGGCTTCTGGGAGCTGTGGCCTCTGAACTGTCAGCTTATGTGGTCAAATTACATACGATTACTACGTGAGTGTCCAACGTGAGTGTCCCACAAGAGTGTTCTTACAAGAATGTCCCACAAGAGCGTCCCACAGAGTGACAAAAGTGTCGCACGAGAGTGCCCCACAAGAGCGTTCAACAAGAGTGTCCCCTACAAACGTGTCAAAAAATGTTTGGGCGCTTGTTTTCGAGTACGTGTTTGCATTCGGGTTCGTGGGTTCCATCTTGTTTTATTCCCATTCTTCCATGAATCGTAAACCCCCAAAACACATGGATTGTAAAACCTCTTCAGGCCTGCAGGTTGAAGTGTCATCAAGAGTCTACAGTAGTCCTTGGCAGGCTACTGTGGCAAACCCTGCACCTGATGAACACACCCGCCTCAGGCAAAGTTTTGAAGACTTTGTCGGTCAAGAAACGTGGCAATTCTCATGATTGGTCCAGTGCTGAAGACCAGGCACCATCCGTTGCCGGTGTGGCACATCCTTGAGGTGTGACCGAAGTGTGTTAGCAGGTGTTCAAAAGCGACCATCATTCATTTGCCCTAAGATTCGGACCCGACCTCTTCACAGCGGTCCCGAACCAAACCCTTCCCTTCGGGCCCGGATTCTTAGGGTGTGTGTTTCGCTGGATTTTCCGCATGTCCGTTGCGGCTGTTTGAACCCCAAGGGCGAGCTGAAGAACCTGGTCGAGGAGAGTCCATTTCTCCTTCTCGTTCCTTGGTTTCCAAGTCGTGACCACCAAGTAATCAAGTAGTTTTGGGGTCCCCGACACTACGGGTTGTTCAGACGCACATGGAGAAAGAACACTTCTCCTGGTCCGCAGAGGGTCCATCTTTAAATGTTCTATGTTAACGACTGGTTGGCAATGTTTTATTTGTACTGAGAATGATTTGTTCTGACTATTTTCAGGTTCTATAGGTCCTAGGTTGTTTTGCGTTTTTGAGATTGAAACCACTCTCGGGGTTTTCACATGTTTTCACTCTTCCTTCTACACCTAAATTCTAGCATGGTTGACGCCTTTCAATCTGCCACGGGCCATGTGTATGAAGCATATTTTTCCACCTGAGGGTTTTATAGGGATTTGGTCCATTTTTTGGTGACTTAGGCCCAAAACGGCGGAAATGTTGTTTAGATTTAGCCGTGGGAAGTGCACATATCCTGACACCACCCAGGACACATGCTGGGAAAGGGGTGGCAAGTGCAAGGAAAGGTGTCATTTCTTCAATATGCCGATGTCTTAAACATTGCCCAGGAAAAAACACTACATCTACAGTAAAGCCATGTAAAACCTGCAAAACCACATTGTTTTCGCTGCCTTTTTGCTGTACCAGCTGAGACTGTAGGCTGCATGTTTTCCTTTTCCTGTTGCGTGTCATCAACGCATGATTCGGCAGAACCAGGGCGAGAATCATGCCCGTGGCTGTTTGATACTGTAAGTTGATATGCATGGTTCTTTGGCATATTTTAAGCATTTGGCAGCATGCCAATAGTGAATTGCAGAGTAAATATGTTCAGCTCAGCCGCGCCCAACTCAAACAACTCCGGTTCTTTCGATCATTGCTGGCTGCTGAGATTGTCTCAGCGTTCATGCTGCTCATCTACAGCTTCTTCTTTAACCTCCTTGTTTCGTGCCATGGCGAGATCGATGCTGGATGAAGCCATTAAACGAAAAAGCATTGTTTGTGCTTCACACAGCTTATGTATAGTATATATTTGGCAGTGGGTCAAAACTGGCAGCCCTTAGTGGACCCTCCTTAGGTTGCCTGATCCCCTGGTGGTCTATTCGGGTTCATTTTCTGACCCTCAGCCCCTCCCCTTGGTGCTGCACTGATTGGTGGATCCGTCGTTTTCATGTTAGCAATCAATGCTGACGGCACCCAAACCATGGATGGTGAGAGTTGAACGCGTTTCCGGGGGTCGTTTCCGTCGTCGGAAGTGGCGGCCAATTTGGAATCGCCAAGCATGTCCATCTTCACACGATGATGAACTGCCCTGGAAGAAGAACACAACTCCATAGAAAAGTGTGGGAACATATGCGTTTTTCATGGTCTTTCTGTGGTTTTAAAGGCGAAAACCCTTCAGCCTCGCCCTTCAGCTTTGCCCTTCAGGCAGTTCTGTGGCGTCTATGCTTCCCTGGCCCAAGACAGTGAAGGTCATGCCAGGTCCGGTGGCCAAAGTGCGTAGGTGGGTGGTAGGTCGGGTGGGGAAAAGGTTGTGTACACTCCTCACTAAAAGAGGACGTGGTGTTCCATCTTCCAAGGGGCCATACATGGCCATACCATCCATTTCCGTGAAACATAGTGAAACCTGGTGTATCGCCGGGGAACCCCCGCGACCCGACGCGTCCGACTCCGACTCGAGGCGACCGGATCGTCCGAAGCTCTTCTTCCCGGAAAACGGTGGACGGTGGCGGTGGACCACGGACTTAGTCGTACAGACAGGGTACAGCGGATGGTTGAATGGTTGAATGGTGCGGATGCGTTTGGGATAGTTACGCTCTGACGAACACATCACATTGACATGGAAGTGGAAAATGGTCCTTTGGAAGACTACTTTCCTTTACGAACAGTTTTTGTTCCACTTCCATGTTAGTGAGTCGGAGTGTAAGATGTTTTGCGGATTGATGGAAGAGCTGCGGGACATTGAGACACTCCAATTGTTACTTCCATGCTTTGCAGCACGAAACACCGGCAAACAAGGTCACTGAAGCGAGGTATCGTCGGACGGGCCATTTGTCCTTGTATTGCCGTGAGTCAACATCAGAGGGAAGACTGTGTGCGTGTGTGCGCGCGTGCAGAAGCTGTGTTTCCGCAGAAGCTGGTGACGAGTCGAACAACAAGGCCATCTCAAAGGGAGTTTGGAGGTCCTCCTCTTTTGGTCCACCTGCTGCCGCATTGATCCTCTAATACCGGGGTCTTCGTTTTGAGAATTCTCCTGTTTGTCTCTCACTCATCTCTCGAGATCTTGGCTGCAAGAGCTTCACCTTGATGATCATAGATGCACACTGCTGTTGGTGCTTACTGCTGTTGTCCCTCCGCACTCACTGCTGTTGTCCCATCGATCAGAAACACCACGGGCCACGGGTGATCCGAAGCCGTCGGATCCGACCGGATCCGACGTCGGATCCGACGACCGAACATCAATGAAAAGAACACCATGGGCTGAGCCCTCCACTTGCAAACAACACTTATATATATACAATAGATATATCAATAGATTATCAAGAAACAAATCATTGAAACACAAACACACTTTTTGTTGTTGTATCATGTTCGTCAGGTTCCAATTTGTCGAGAAGATCCGATCCCGGCTTTTGGAGGTCGTCCTTGGGGCCATTTCTGTCGCCATGGACAGAGATGGCATTCCACCTAGCTCTGCACAAGTTCTGGTCAGCTCAAAATGCTCAGAACTTGGAGGTCGGTCCAAGTACCATGCAGTCGTTCCACACATAGCTCGACGTCGTACGCCTCGTGCGGGTGACTTGGAGGATCTATCCTCTCTCCACTCACGAACCAAAGTGAGCGACTAAGACACACCACCACCCCTGGTCGCAATGACGGAAGTTCCTCCTGGGACGGGCGAGTCGAGTCGAGTCGACGAGTCGAGTCGAGTCGACGAGTCGAGTCGAGTCGACGAGGCTTTCTCGCTGAGAAGTGATCCTGGACACCCTGAAGGCGGTCACGCCTGCGGGAGCGCCCCCGTGACCCTTTTTGGAATCCTTTTGGCATATGGTTGCCAAGCACGAAACTTTGGCCTTTTTGTTTGCACAACCCCGTTGGTGCAGGCTTTTCCGTATTGAACGAACCGTGTGTCAGGGTGAACCAGCACAGTCCAACTCTTTTGACAGTTGAGATGGGCCTTCAAGCGGCTGGACGAACATGGGATATTCATGGATATTCCATTAATACAATCCCTTATGAAAGTAGGCAGGTCTGTTGTATCCTTATCTCTTAAGATATATTGACAAGCGGTCCCGGGTCGCTTGTTCTCAGTCGCCTTGACATCCTTGGTGAAGAGTCAGAAACCAGCGGACCCCATTTGGATGTTCCAAGTCACTCGACTGGGTCAACTCCCAGTCGATAGACAAGTGGAGACGAGTCGAGAGACCGAGACGAGTCGAGAGTCGAGATGCAAGGTCTATATATTGCATCTAATTGGACTAATATATGCCTCTAACCAGGACCTTCCAAGAGGTGTCTATAAATAGGCTCTAAGTAGAGGTTAAGGAGTGTTCAAGAACCACCTGTTGGAAGGTCCAGGAATAGATGCTGTTTTGAGATGTGTTTAGATCGTCTTATGTGTTCCAGAGCTTTCCCAAAGTGACCTGGGTTTCAGGGGAACACACCACACGTTGTCCATCGGTTCCATGTGGAAGTTCTTCGACCCTGTGTGTGTGTGTGGGAACCAGTGAACCTTCCAAGAGGCTCCAAGAGGTCTGGAGACCAGTCCGAAACGACCTCGACAGGAAGGTCCCTGGAAATCTGAAAGTCGACCAGTCTGGTGTGTAATAAGCTACTAGGAACAAGTGCATCGCTTCTAGAAAGTCTCCTGGTACTCTCCGAAAAGGATCCTCCAGGACCTTCACGCAAGGAGGTGTCGAACGAGTCTCGCCCTCGGATAGCCTCGTAGGTTTTTTTTCCGAGTGTCCAAAAGCCGTTCGTTCACGAACGGAAGGTCCTGGCAAACAAGAAGTTGTTTGGATTTCACTCCAGGAGTTCGGACAGTGTTGGGATGCCATGATCCACCCGGATTTGGAGGGAACGACAGCATCCCAAGCTCTCTTAGTACAGTAGCACTCTTCAACCCCAAAAAGCGCCGAACGCAATGCATTGCAAAAAGCTTCGTCTTCATCGGCTTCGCTTGGCGTCACCGCTTTCACCGGTGTCACGTCCACGACGACCGATCCGGACACCATCAGGCGATCCAGCGGAGCCGCTGGAGGGCCTTCGTGGCCTCCTTGCAGCTGGATGAACGGACGGACTCCTGGGCGGCACAGGACAGACGAACGGACTCCGCCGGGCCAAAAGCTCTTAAGAGGTCGATGTTAGCACAGGAGGTCGACTCGTCCATGTTTTGTGGGGTTTCAGAGCGGAAGCATCCAAGTTCAGTGCTTGACTTGGGCGAGTCGATGAGTTTGCCGAGGAATGGCATCTCGGATCGAAGACATTGGACTTCTGGAGTTGTCCACCAATCTGATAGAGCGATCATGCATGTATCTTTTGGTGTTGTTTTAATATGTTTTAATATGTTTTAATGTGTGTGTGTGTGTTTTTTTTTTTAAATAACCTATTCATGACTATAATACCTGCCACCTTGTGGGTGTTTAACATACCTTTATTTAGGTTTGTGAACCACACAAACATCCGCAACCAAAATAACATCCGCTGAAAAGGCACGTTCGGGTAAACAAGAATGCCCACGGTTCACTAATAACGCCTGTGGAAGACCAGAAAGAGAAACATCCGCAGACTCAAATGTAAGGCTGTGACTCCAATAGATCCTTTTCACGCCGCAGATCCAAAAAGACACTTTCGGAAGTTCCAAGCATATGGTTGTCCTGGTTTGATAGATCTGACACTCAGTTTTGAGTTCAAGAGTTGTTCCAAGGCATGACAAGCTCACTTGTTGCTGCAAACAGTGTTGCAAGTACAGTCGGAGAATGCCAGTCATCGTTCTCGCGGAGTCGAGGAGGCGGTGTTGGTCGCAGGTCGGTCGCAATCCACAAGGACACAAGTATGTCACAAAGCATCACTAGATGTGTTTATAATTGTTTTTTTGATTGGACATAAATCACATGAAGAAAGGCAAGCTTTGTCGATATTTTTCCTGGCAGCTTCATTGGTCGAACTGGAACCAGCGTTTCGTTTGCCCAAATAAAGCTCCATCCTCGGGTGACTGAAATCGCCTCGGTCCTCGGTCCGACTTGGGTGTCCCGGCGTGACGTGCACGCCCCAAGGATTTCGATGAAGGTGATATCGGCCTTCCCGGAGGAGCATGGGGACTGAACTTGCACAAACCATCCGTGGGAAGACTTACATTACATTTACTCCATGTATGAGACTAATGTAAGCAACGATTCCATAGACGGTGTGGGCTTGGATGGATTGCCATTTCCGAATCACCAGCGGCCATTTGTTTGTCACAGCAAGAGATAACAAGAGGGCCAAGGGATGCCAAACGGGCAAAGACATAAAAATAAGGATAGATAGGGTAACAGAAGCAAATATCATATGATCTACATTCACCACCAAGAAACTCACCAGTCACCACGGAACCCTTTTTTTTCCGGAGATTAGACTTTCCATGACTACAAAGTCCAGCCCAAGGAAGTGGAGGTCGCAAACTAGATGTGTTATCTATCTCAGAGCTAGTTTGCGACCTCCACTTCAAAAAAGAACCCAACTGAAACAGAACCATCCCATGTATCAAAAACCTGAAAAAGTCGATTTTGGAGCAGTTTGTGTCTTATTTTTTGCGGTGCCTAGGGTCCGTCTTTTGATTGACATGACAATCCTTGGCTCTGAGGAATTCCGAATTCATGGGCTAGGTATGGACGTGTTGTTTCTTTGGTTTGTGAGGTATGGCTGTGGGTCAAAACCAGGATACCTTGCTAACACGACTTGCGGACGCTCTCCGCGCGCTCCCCATGCATCCTTTGGGGTGTTGTACCCCGGGTTTGAAGAAGGTGAACGAAAATGATGATTGTGAAATGACCTACCTGGAAGGTCAAGCTACATGGGGTTGGAGCTCCAGGTTTTGACCCATGCCCGTATGACTCTTACCCCATCTTCAAGATCCTTCGGTCTTCGAACGCACGGTTGGATCGAATATGTTTTGTGGTCGATGGTGGCCACTGGTCCAGTTTCAAATGACTCAAATCCATGATACAGCTGTTTTACAGAAAGAAAAAACAGGTACTGCAATCCGATGTTGTTTGTTTCCGGAGTTTCCTTTTTTGATTTTCCAGCTGAAGGTTCTCATTCGATCAATGAACAGACCCCCTGATGCGCAGAAGGTTCTGATCCGCAGAGGAGCTGAGACCCCGGTGAACACGCCGGTCTTCCACCGTTTCGTGAATAGCCCCAGAACCAAAAAGACAAAGTGCTGATTGCTTTTTTTTATGTTTTAACTGACCCTGCGGGGTCTCCTTAACTAACAAAGCCTATGTTTTAATGTTGTTGTTATTTTTTTAAATAATCTTACAGTAACGGGGCATGGAGAACTTGTGCCCCTACTTGGGAGCTCACCTACCCTACCCAAACCTGGCCGTTCGAAGACCCGTTCAAGGCGTCAAAGTCTTTGAGCCGGCGGGCGCCAATCCCAAGACCCAGGAGAACGACTGTCGTCGTTCCTTCCACCGGATCGTCGAAGCGGGTTCCTCGATCGGTTCCCTTTTTTGGGCGAAGTCCGTGGAATCTGAGAGGGTGTGCATGGGAAACACGTGGAGTCTGCAAAAATGGGAGAGGGAAGGAGGCCTTATTGGTGCTATGGGAACCCAAATTGAAACGCTTCCTGGCGCTGCGGAAGGCCTGCAGAGGGCCTGCGGAGCGTGACTAGTTCGCCGCACAAAACATGACACTTCACTGCACTCACCCGCCGCGAAAAGGCCACCACCTTCACCACAGCACGAATCAGCACATGCCGTGCAATCACAGAAATCACATGACCATCCGTGCACTTCACCGCATCGCTGGCTTCACCCTAGTCGCCTAGTTGCTAGTAGGTTGGAGGCCATCGCTAATGTAGTATGCACAGCGTTCCACTTTGTCACCTTGACAAGTCACCACAGCGCACATGTTAAGACAGTGACACCCCATCAACACATGGGGCCTCCAGACATGACAACACTTAATAGTAGAGTTATATACACGTCACAGCATGTGGTGGCATAACCATTTGAGAATAAAGACCACACAGTTGATTTACCTTGGGATCCCAAAGGGTAACTATATTTTGTGAATTTTGTGCAGTGTATCACGGGGTGATTGACCTCAGAGTAAAAACTTGGCAGGGCGAAGTGGCCCACTGAATCAATGTGGCATGTCCACACCCAGTTTGGGTGGTGGAACATTGGAGCTTTCTAAGAAGAGGCAGTGCATGAGCGCACCAGACCCTGAATGAACACCCATGGACATTATATGGATTGCGTTCAAAACCTCCTATATGCTCAAGCGGGCCCCCAGCAGACTACGTTGATTCTGCAAGACAGCGCTAGGTCGGCACTAGGTTCTCTAGGATGATATGACCACGATTTGCTGGTAGGTGTTTGTGTGTGTGTGTGTGTCACCCTCCGTTTCCAGGAGTTTAAACCCGATTTGTTTGCAGGGGCGTGTGGCCTTCTTGTCCTACCACACGCAATGAAGCTGTGGACAATAGTGGGATGCAGAGCCTGATCAGCTCTGTGTACCTGCAAAACAACTGTTGTTCACGCTGTCTACTTTCTTGGTTTGTTTCCATGGTCGTTCTCATGCTGATAGATCCCGAAACAGGTTTCCCTCGCTACGTATTCAGTAACTAGAGTCCGCAGTCATGCAAACCTTTTTGTTAAACACCTTCACTTCCACTGACCCAGCCGCCTTGTGGTTTGCTTCCGTTTTTCGTGGGAACTGAGTTATATAACTGCAAGCCCATTGTCAAAGTGTGTGTTGCCAAATAATTTTGCTTCTGTTCATCTCCTTCTTGTCCTCCTTTCTTTCTTCACACTGTCCCTTCCTCACACACTCACCCACTCACTCGAGTACCAGCATTTTTTGTGCTAGCCGCGCGCTAGCTCCGTGCTAGCACCACGCTAGACGACGGTGCGCTTCGTAGTCAGTGGTACACGGCTCATCTAATGTTGACTCAGCTTGACAAGCATTAACATATATATATATATATCATATATTTATATAGCATGTATTTCTTTATGCTTGATGAAGCTCTGGGTCCAGTCTTCCCAGCCCACTGGCAGCAAGAGTCAGGCAACTGCTAGAATCCAGTAGCGCGCATCGCCAGCCTCCGCGCTAACTATGTCTTGCAGTTCCTCAAGTGTTTGCCCTTGCCTTTTGGTTTCGGGTTTGGTTTGTTTTGACCTCGGTCATGCCACAGCTCGGGCCTCAGATGACACAGTTGCTTTCTCCTTTTTTGATTCTGATGTGTCGAGAAGTGTACAAAACCACCTGCTGCAATGGCCGTGACACGCACTTGAGAGGTGTACCAGTTTTCGTGATGCTTTGCTAAGATTTTGTGAAATGTACTCCAGTTTTGTTTTCTTTGTTGCGCGGCGATCTCGTGCTTGGCCGCACGCGATCGCGGGCTCTGAATGGAAAAGTGCAGAGATTGTGCCACAGGGGCCTTTCCGGCGAGGTGACCCAGCTCCGCTGTTGACCTTGTAACAGTGCCCCTTGCCACCTCGATTGACTTCTTGGTGGTCGTTCCATGTTCTACATCTGCATACCTACATATTCTTGTTTGCTGAGCTGCAGTGTGCACTTACCAGAGTCTCTGATCAGAGGACATCGACATCCCTTCGCTAGGTCCTCTCGTCATGTTAGACTCCGCGGGCTCTGAATGGAAAAGTGCAGGGAATGTGTACTTAATATAGTTCAATCATATAGGGGATTTGGATTCGGGCCCCCATCTAAGCAAAATCGTCACTTTTGGGAAAATGACTTTTGACAGCCGCCCATATGGTGACGCATGGTTGGTTAACCGGACAAACCTGACGTGCTCACAAGGCGCCTTGAGAACTTGGCGCAAGGCTGCGAAAGCTGCTAAGTTCCTGGTTACCTTGAGTATGACTTATTGGAGCATCTTGATGGAGCGATGTGAGGAAATATCGTTTTCTTTTGATGGTCCAGTCAGGACTTGTCCATTATAGAAAGGAACAAACAAACTAATAAATTTTTCACATGGAATTAAGCAGTGAAAAAAACAGAAAAACAAACAAAGCACTCATGCCAGCATGTTTTCGCCAGAAGGGTTCATCATTGCAAAAAAGGTGCACTAATCCGGCGATTGTGCACCTTGGTTGCAGCAAGTCCCAAACTCTCAAATTCTCCTCCTAATTACAATGTCGAATCTTGATTAATAGAACCAACCCCATTTGGATGCACGTACTCGCGGTTCTGCGCGCCCACAACCGCCCCTTGTCACTTAATGTGATTAATACAGGTAGGGCATGTACACACGTACACTGTCGGACGATGGCAACTGCAAAATGCTCCACGGAGTGGGCACGCTGAATTGGGCCCTGTCTTGAGATCACAATGCAAGATGCAACACCAAACTTAAGAAATGGCCTTTGACCATCTACTGTTGTGAGGCTTACAGGAGACAGGCTGTAGACCTCTGATCGATGGTGAATCACACGCTTCTGTACGTCAGTCTGCACTGGAGTGCTAAGGAAAAATGGAGTAGAAACCATTTGGAAAGACTAGTCACAACAAAGTGTTGTCCAAGTGGAACATTGGGCCATGTGTGCGCGCGCAGGGCATGGTGGTGCCCGAATCCGCGTCATCGGGGTTGTGACGACAGCCACGCCCCGGGAAGGCTTGGGTAGTATAGTGGCTCACCCCATTTGGATTCACGGACTTGCGGATGGTCAAAGACGCGCCCCCACACTATCCCTTGGCAGGTTTTCTGGCGGTACAGGTGGGATGGTAAGGTGACACCGGTTCAACAATTCAAACAATCCACTAGGCGGGGAACCAGGAAGCTACGAACAGGAAGGTAAAAAGAGTTGTAATTACCGGGTCACGGCAATTACTAATTTGAAGAGCGCTGCAAAAGTCCTACGACTAATTGGGGCCAGGATGCATGATGGTGTCGAGGTTCTTCTTACGAAACAGAGCGTATCTAATATGTTGTGTGAATTGGTCTCTTTTGCTGGGCGACATTTCTGGCCAGTCTGGCCATTGTTCGGGGTTCGAATTCTCCGAGCACATTGGTGCGGGAAATTCAGTATGAAAGGGTGGCTCATGTGGGATCATCAAAATCATATCGTGGATGAACGCATATGTGGCCTTTGCATTTGGCAAAACTGGGCGGCGGGAAACACCTGCTTCATGATAAGCTGTGAAACGCAATTTTTGTAGGCTAGACCTACCTTGTTTGGAATAGGCAGGGATGAACTTGGCACGTGAGAAAGTTTGCAAATGCTTAATTATAAGACGAAACGATTCTGCCTTTATCCTTAGGGATCTCTTTTTGGGGGGGTTGCATCTGGACTTTAGGATTTGTCAGAGGTAATGCGATAAGATAATCGCCTTCCGGAATCTTAACCGGCAAAGTCCACTCTGACCATAACATGAATGAAATTGCGAGTTCCACCAACGAATTTCCAGGATCTTTGCACGTGTTGCGTGTCTGAGTTGCCGGCCGGCGCAATTTTGTACAAAATGTCCAAACGAGCCGGGCATAATTGGCACCCCACATACAAGGCCAAAAAACGGTGGGGTGGGTTCCGGAGGCATTTCATGGGCATCACCAGTAATGGTCCATGATGAGAATGTTTCAATATTTCTGCGGAGTTGCGGAGTGGTTCTACCCTGAACTGAGGTAGAGGAATCTTGTGTGTCTTGGAAATCATATGCGCTTGGGGAGAGCCATGCGAGCATGGGCAATGTCTGACAGATACGCAAAACTCTTTCAGGCGCTGGAGGTCATAATGTGTTCGGACTGCGTGGCACAATTCAGAGAACTCTGCATCATCTGTGGCGCAAGATTGTTTTGCTGTTTCATCAGCACATGCGTTTCCTTGAATGTCCCACAACGCTTTTTTCATTGCGGGCGGGCATCTTCCAACTTGAGGTGCGACTTGATTTTAAAAATTAAATGCAAAGTACTTATACGGGCCCCAAACTGCCATTAATCTATGGATCAAGGTGATCATGCTCCTGAGGGTGTGACTCGATTAACTGAGTCTCAATTTTGTCCATAAGATTAATTATTGGGAGTCAGTGCCAAATGCAACGGAGGGGTCGTTATCGGTCGCATCTGCGGTTTCGACAGCAGAAAGCAAACAGTTCCGCCCTGTTGGTTTGGTGACCGGTCGCAACAACTCGTAAGAAATGTTCCACAGTGCAATTTGGCGAAACGGTTTTGAGAACCACGGCCCAAGCAGCACGGGCAGCGAACGGGTCGCGCGGTGCGTCGCAAGAGCCATCAGTATAGAATATTGAATAGTGATTTCTCAGGCAAATTTCCTATGGGGTTATTTGAGCTTGTAAGATGTCTGTGGTGCATGGATTGCCGAACTAATTCGACATGCGGGGAATGCGTGGGTAACGGGAACCAGCAAATATGTGGGTGTTGCGAAATGTGTTTTACAGCGTCGGGGTGCATTTGACGAATATGATGAAATGTAGGACAATCTAACGGTTGATGAGTATGTGTGTCATATGCCCCACACCATGGGCATGTAGGGTCTTGCTGCTCATTCCAGATGGCCACAGCACCATTTGACTGCCAACCAGCGGTCATGGTGAGTGCCAAGATTCTGCGTTGACGATCTGTAAGTGTTTGCAGGGTCTTATGTGTGGTCGTGGAGTCGAAGGGTAGGCCGATTACTCCTTTCCTGTGAGAGATGGAGTAGTAGCAGTACCAGTCCCATGCAATTCGTGTATGGTGCTTAATGCTTTTACCCCATTTGGATTGTAAAGCCTTTACATAGGGGGGATTATCATTGGAGAGTCTACATTGAATTCTGAGACATGAACACCCACTTCTCGGTGTTCTTGCAGGACCAGATCATCCGCTTCGGAGGGCACACGGATCCCTCCTTGCCATGGCCGGATAAGGAGCATGATGCGGATTCCGACAATCAAGATGCGAATCTTGGACAAGGAAGAGCCCTGGACGGAGAACTCCACTTATACAATACCCGGTACCCCTAATTGAATTTTTTAGACATGCTTCCTGTTTCCTCCAATTGACCTCAACTTTAACATGCAGACCCAACACAACCAGGCAGGCGCAGTTTGGACCAGGCAACCTTGTTCCGACCTGAACTTGAAGAATCGGCAGCGTCCGAAAGTGCATTCCGTCGACTTTGAGGATTCCGTCGAAGTCGGCAGATCACCTGACAGTGGCTGTAGGAAGCACCAGGAGAGGTTTTATGTGACCTTATAGAACCCGTCACCTGGGGTACCTATGGGATAGTCTATAGATGTCTATACAGTATAGGGATTTTGAACCTGTGTTGGAACTGCCCTGCGACTTTGCAGGAGAAGACTGACATGACCATTCATGGCCTGAATACTTGGCACGAAGCGGCATATTTCGGGCAATGTCACCCTACGGTTTGTTGTAATCACTGGGTCACCAGTCACCAATTCACCATGTTGTTTTGTTTATGCTGGGTGTCCACATATAACTGGGAATGAAGCCTCACACCCTGTTTATGAGGAAAACCCACTGCAGCGTTCAGTCATCCCATGTGCTCCTGAGCCTTCAATTCAGGGCCAGTATCTACTCAAAAAGTTAACACTCCCAGCTTTTGCTAGTACTTCACTTTGACGACATATGTTTGGAATGCCCCTCCCTCTTCCTCCCAGCGGATTTCTGTGCACAGCTGAGGATGATCCAAAGGACGTGGCTCGGATGGTGGTATGGTCATCCTGGAGTAACTGAGTATATAGATAGAATATATATAGTGAATATGGAAGACATGGAACACTTCCAAACAAATAGTACCAAGTGTCCTTTGATTGTTTGGTTTGTCCCATAGTCTGTCTACTGGAGGATGATTTTGGCCCTAATATAGGGAACGGCCACAGGTAGGAGGAAGGACAAACTGACTGAATTCAAGTCAAGCTAGACCGACTAGACCGACTCTGGTCATCTCTGGTCATCCTGTGGAAATGGTCTCACGTAAAAAGGGCAGCGGAGTTGAGAGAGTTTTTGGATTCTCGTGAAGTTGGGTGGATGCTGTTGGAGGAGAGTTTCCGGTGGACTGCCCTTTGGCCTCAAATCCTTTTTTTTGGAACTGCCCTTTGAGGGATGAACTCTCTGACGGATGAACGGCACACATGAGAGATGCTCCAGTCTTTCAACCTTGTTTCACAAGATGAATTGTGTTTGGCTGTGGGCTGAGTACTGAGGATTCAGAGAACCTTGGGGAAGTACTTCAAGGGGAAAGGCACCGACAGTGACTTCACGTGCCATGGGCCGCAGTGATGTCTCCAATGAGGGCCAGGGCTGTTGGGAATGGAGGGGCCAAGCTTTTTTTGGGCTGCCGAAGAGTTGATTCCGAATCAGAACAGCTATAGGCTATATTTGCCGTGGGATGGTGTGGGTCCAAATCTTGGACCCCCAACACCATGTACCGTGCGGACTGCCCTTGTAGGCCGTCCACCAACTGTTCATTGGGTGGTCAACCGGTCGGTCCACCGGTTTTGACCAACCGCCCGTTGCGGACGACTAGGACCGGTTCCTTCCTTTGGACCGGTTGCGAAGACATGTTCTGGAAGGAAGGTGCGGGCGCGAGCCTTCTGGAGCCTCCAATCAGTATGGTCCACCCGAATCCATGGAGGGGGTCTGAGTTTCTCAACTCCCAGTTTCAGAGACCGTGAGGGAGAGGCCTGTGAGGGAAAGGAGCGTTTGGGTGAGTCTGGTGGACGGACGGTTCGGACATGCCGCATGCCGGTCGCGAGGCTGAGCAGCAGCCACAACAGCAGCAGCAACAAGGGTGATTGAGCTGATCGGGCCACCTCTCTCCAGGGTCCAACAGCTGCCATTTTGGCGACGCATTCCGCCTTGGAACGCTGAAGAAAGCACCAAGTTTCTGGTTCAAGAAAGACTGACGTGTTACTCAAGACCTGTTGTTGGTTTATATTATATTGGCCGGGATACCGTAACCATCTTGTCAAACCAGCATGGATGCCCTCAGGCTCGGGAGGATGCCTTTGACGGAAGCCGGTTTCTTCTTTTTTGGGGGGGCATGGGCGCTACAAGCTTCGATTCGAGGGGTATCCCTGCTCTACAAAACTCTTGGCAAACTTCCCAAGTGGTGGTTCTCTTGCTTTGATGATGTGATTTGATGGGATTGACGAAAAGTTCCCGGCTGGATTTCTTTGGGATTTGCGCCAAGGACTTTTCTTGCGGAGGGTCAAGTGGAGTCTGGGGAAGATAAAGTGACACACGTAGATTATCCGTAGATCTGTCATCCGAGTGTTGGACAGGTGCTTTTACACATGCTGGCCCAAAAGAAGGCAAAGGATGCGTGGGCATCAAAATATGTTTCAATGTTTGGTGAAGAAGGAGGTTTGGAGTAGGATGCGCTCGATCGCACTGGCGCAAAGCATGTTCAGTGCATCGTCTCTTTGGACGACGGGTTTTTCTCACCCTCTTCCAGATGCATTTGGCACAGTAAATATGTCTATGTTGGTATGTCGATGAGCCAATATTCCCTGCTCATGTGGGAACAAGGTGATAGACTTGACCAATGCGACATCGGATGCATTTGTGCCGGTCTTTCAGAATGAACACGACTGGGTGTGGGCCCTCCCATCGAAAAGGACAAACCCTTGTTTTCCGATATACGCCCTATAATGATATAGACTGCCATGAGTGAGGGCTGAGTAAAAGATAGTAAAAGAACATGTTTTACTCGATGACTTGTTGAGTCGGGCCGGGTGCTGCGCTTCGCAAAGATGTGGCTGAAATCATATATTTTGACTTGCTACAAACCTCCATCTTGGGGCTGACCTTTGAAAAGGCTTGGCCAGAGGCTTTGGTCTGAGCCAGTTTCGTCGGCCGAATTCTTCTGAGCAGTTTTGGTCAGCAGTGACATAGAATGACTGCTGATGGTCCTCATGATGGCCCGGAATTAAACCTGGAAATGGCATGACGATTGCATGCAAGCCTCTTTTCCAGACAGATGTTGTACAGCCATCTTCGTTGCCAGACTGGTTTCTACTCATACCTTGCTGGGTTCCTCAAGGTATGACAGCGGCGCCCAAACGATCTCCCATGATATTTTTGTTGTTGTGCCTCGGATGTTTACGCAAAGTAAACAAATTGCTATTAGGTTGGAGGCCATCGCTTGTAGGTTGGAGTTTATCGCTATGAGAAACAAAGAAAATGAAGAAAGGTCTAATATAGTTTGCCATTAGGTTCCGCAGCGTTGGTTCCGCAGTGCCCTCCAGTGCTCTGACCGTCCACTCGTGATTGAGCTTTCACCTCCGTGGGAACGGGGGACCGGAAAACCGAAGGAACTGCACTCGATCGAAGGAAGAGAAGACCTCCAAATGGATTGAAACATGATGGAATATATGTATATATAGTGTGTGTATATATATATATGTAGATGGAGACACGGTCATAATAGGGCCCCTGGTTTTCTGCTTCTTCGTGCGTTTTCGAGCTGACTGTGTGCGTTTTTGAGGTTACGGTGATGAGGTTGATGTTATAGAATTGATATTAAGACGTTAGTTTAGACTTTCAATGGGGGGTGGTTGGGGGGGGAGGGGGGGGGGGGGGGGGGGGTAATGACGTCCATGTTACAAGAATGTTTGATGAACTAATCCCGAGTTCCTATTAATAAACCCTCCCCAGTTAAAAAAACACCACGTCCGAACCCCTAAATTCGGTTGATATTTGGTTTTAAATTGCCGCCCTTTCAAACCGCTACTAAACTACCAACATGGTCGATTTTGGGGGTAGTTTTTTTTATTAGGTCCCCCAAAACTCCACCATGACACGCCGCGCTTACACCAGCAGGCTTTCCTTCCCTCAATGGCACGGACTCACGCAAACGCACTTGCCACCGAGGTCATGCAACACCGCATGGCACAGCGACATCACCTTTCGAAAGCTTTAGCTGTTAGTCTACTGAAGAATCACTATTCTAATGAAGGTTTTTGTAGGGGAAAAGGAAGAAGACCCTTCGATCTGGCGGTTTTTTGCATTTTTGATATGAGTTTAATAGAGGATTTTATATAAAATTTTCCTGGATTACTTTTTGGTTTTGAAACTCTTTCCAGGTGACCCTATTTTGCCCCCCCCCGATTTCAGGGACCCCCTATTAGAAAAAATGCGACCGAGGTTTTTTTAATAGGGGGGGGTGAGGGGTAAGTTCCCCCAAGTCTTGAGCCTTGAGCCCATTGCTCTGGTACAGCCGCTGTCAATGATCACGTAGGTCGGACTGTACCTCAAGTCGATGTATTCAGAAAGCAAAGCATGGTGAAATCCATCGTCAAAGTTGACAAAGGAAGAACAGAAGCGTGGATCAATCACTTCAGAACAACCGGAATGTCGGTAGTCTGTACTGCTACCGGCAGGATTTAGGTGATACGGCTGTGAAACATGTTCTACACCAGTCATTTCTTCTGCATGTGTTCCGTAATACCGGAAATCTGCTGACTGGTTCATCTGGTCAGGCTCTCGCTCTGAGCTCTGGTGCTCTTCATCTTGCGGTCTGTCCGTCTGTCCGTCCGCAAAGTATGTCCATTGTTGCCAAGTGGCTTCATTTGCCTGCCAGACATCTTCAGGATAGTACTGATCTGTGTGATATCCGTACGAGTCCCATGACCAATTTGCTTCATGCGCACTCCAGGTTTCTTCGGCATTAGTGGATGGTTGAGCTGATGAAGGCTCTTCGGTGGTTGCAACATTGGATTGTTGAAAGGGATTCTGTTGCTTGCTTTTTCCTTTGCCTTTGAATGCATCTTTTCCCTTGAATCCTTTCTTTCCACCTTTCTTTCCTTTCTTGCCTTTTCCATAGAAACCTGAGTTGTCAGGGTACTCTGCATAATGTGCCCCTGCACCTTTGCCTCTACGGCTGACAAAGCCGGGTCTTCTACCTTTTCCGCGGCCTTTTCCTTTGCCGCGGCCTTTACCTTTCCTTCTACCTTTGCCTTCTGAACCTTCTACCATGGATTCTTCTACGGGTGTATCCTCCTTTGGCTGCTAACACCCAAAATTCGGACTCTGAGAACAAACTCACAAATCCTTCTTCGCCTGTTTCTTGATCCATCACCCAGTATCCGGATTCTTCTTCCAAGTCTCCTTCATCGAGGACAAGGAAAGTGGATCTTCTTTGCCTGCGGATCGAAGGATCGGCAGTTCCTGTGGCGGTTCCGCAAAAGAGATCAAGGAATAAGCCTTTGACACCTAGGTATGTGTAGTTGTTCATGTTGATCTGACGCAAGGCCATGCTGGCTACAAACCTTTCTCTTTGCTGTTCATTGAGATCCGACTGAACTAAGAAGATAAGTGACATCAAGTTGTCAGACAATGGAAAGGTGTCACGATGTGCTTGTTTCAAAGCATCAATGTGTTCAGAACGGATTCTTTCTGCATTTTCTCTTCTTTCTGCAGGATCTTGAAGTCCTTGAAGTAGCATGTACTGCTGTTGCGAGAGGATATCAGTAAAGTTGAAATCATCAGGCTGTGGAACAGTCGAAAGATCTAACAAGCCCATGAAGGCTTCCATGACCTTCTTGCTAGCGACTTCAAAACGAGCGATCCAGCTGACAAATTCCCCGTTTCCGCGCCAGGTCCTGAAGAGCTGCATGAAACGCCAAAAGAAAAACATGGTTTGCTCCCTTGACAAAGTATGGGCGCAACGTCTCCTTGAAATACGTAATACCGTTTCTCTCATGACGAAGCTGTTCATTGTCGAGCATTTTCTTGTAGTATTCGGCGTTTCCGGTTAGAGCGTTCTTCAATGATGGGCCTAATTTTTCGGCGCTTAATGTGGTGATGTTCACCCAGTCATCAATCAAATCTTCAAACTCGAACCAGGATGACTGTCCATCGAATGACGGAGGAATCTTTGGCGTCATCTTGATACCTGCTGATGGTTGTGCCTCGTACGTCCGGTATGTCGAACTCGAGGACCTTCCATGCTGTTGGCGATGACGCGAACTCTTCTGGATCTGTTACTTCAGATAGGTCGCTGTCATGCTCTTCGTCCGTATCTATGTTAAAGATCTGGACCATGGTCTATTTGTTTGACAAGTGACTTACTTGGTTGTCCCCTGTCCGGAATATCGGACGATTCGGCACGAAGGCAAAATCGACCAATGCGAAGCAGGAGACACAAGCTCCGCTACCACTTTGAGGGGTAAGTTCCCCCAGAAGTGGCAGTTGGATAACTGGACCTGATCGAAACACCAAGCAGGCAAACACGTAAGGTCAGTGTGCGAGCTGCGGCGAAGCACACCTTTTCTATGGCAGTGAATGCAGTATTGGGCTGCTAAGTTTTGAGCCTTGAGCCAAATGAATTATGTCGAAAGCGGACTGAAGAGCTACAGACTAATGTATGTACAAGAACAGGTGCTACACACGTATAGCGTAGACACGCCCAGGGGGACCTAGGACCCTACTAAACACAGGGGGGGGGGCGGGGTTTATTAATAGGGGGGGGGGGTTTTTTGGGCGTTAAGGGGGGGGGGGGGGGGGGTGGGATAATGACGTCCATGGGGGTGATGATATTTTGAATTTTCATGGGGGTTCGGTTGAGGTTGTTGATGGATACGTTCTATGCCGACATTGTATCTCACCTACTGCAAGTTTTGGCTTCGACGATGACGGTTTCGGATGTTTCGACGGTGTTGTGTTTGGTTTTGTTGTTTCGTTTGTGTGGTGTTCGGCAACCGCCTCAAACAGATTTGGAGTGTTTGGGACCCCTTTTTCGTGTTAACGTTTTTACGTTAGATCAATATATTGATATTTTCACGACCCCTCTGTTGGATGACACATTGAACTTTGTTGCGCAAACATGTTTGATCTCCGAACGTTCTTGGGTAGATTGGGATCTGGTTGGACAAACACGTGGGAATCTTTTTCGATGTTGGTTGGCATTTTGTCGAGGTAGAACCCCCAACACAGTGTTGACAGCTGCACTTCTAGTTTTATCCCGTCGTTTACTTCGTTCCTGGTCAAAAGGGCCTCTGCGACAACCAGACGCCAGAAACGGCATGTCTGTTCGGCCTGCGGCAAGCCTGGGCATAGAATAGAAAGCTGCAAATTCCCAGCTGCAGCTGAAATTCTGCGCCTCCGAGGAAATTTGCGAAAGTTGAAACAGAAGCCACCGGCAGCACGCTTCCAAGCCCGTGTGAATTTGAAAGCTGCTGGAAAAACCGGTGATTACAAGAAGTCAGCGCAGAAAGAATATGGCTCTGCCTCTTCGACCTTCAGGATAAGTGAAGCTTCACATCTCCTCAATGCAAGCTCAGTGACGGACTCCATGAGGGTGGATGCCTTGCAGTCCTTAAAAGAATTCGAAGATTTGGGATTCATCAAGGGGCACAAAGACTTGTGCCCGGAATGCGAAGAGGGTTGTCTATGTGAGCCATTTTCGCGATCAGAGCACGATGCCTATGAAGGAAAGCTCTATGTGCGCTGCAAGAAACAGTGCAGGGCTCGCTTCAATGTCTCTGACTTTTCTGTCTTCAAAGGGACCCGGCTGGCTTTGCGAGATCTTCTGCGGCTGATTCACGTCTATGGTCGAGTGAACAAGTTTCGCTTCCCACTTGTCAGCGATGCTCAATCACAACTGCACCTGGGCCGCAAACAAATCCAACATGTGTTTGATAGTCTTCGCTACACCGAAACTGTGGCCGGAAAAGCATTTTGCTGCACCTCTCACAAACTCGCTGGAGCTGTCGAAGGTGATGGTCATGCTCTTCGCAAGGTTTATGTGAGTCATGGAAATGCGACCTTTGCTTCTGAAGTTGCAGAGGCCACAGCCAGATGGAAAAAGCAGAGCGGTTCCAAGCGACTTCCGAAGTACTGGTTGGGCCATGTGCGCATAGCTGCTCTCAAGAAGAGGAATGGGCCAGTGGTTGTGGCTCCTTTGCCGATGAAGTTGCTGCCGCCAGGCTCAGCCCCGGGAGTTGAGTCTTATAGCGACTTGCAGAGCACCGATCTGGATAAGCATCTAGGCAATCGATCTACACAGTTGCATACAGATGGTGCACGTGCGTGGCCACGCTGGGCCACAAACCAAGGCAAGAAGCAGTTGGCAAGTTTCCATGTCAGTCACAACAAGCATGAATTTGCCAAGAAAGTCAAGTGCAGGAAGCGTCCAGGATTTGTTGTCTCCGGCGCGCAATGTGTCGACCGATGGTGGCAAAGCTTGGAGAAAGCTGTGCCTAAGACACTCAAGGTGAAAGACCGCAAAGGGGGTGGCATCTCCGAGCGCCTGATGAACTACGTTTACGCTTTCGTTTGGCGCTCCAACTTAGATGCCGATGTAGACCTGACCAGAGCACTCGGGAGCCTCTGAGAAAAGTCTTTGCGGCAACTACTTTGGCCGTCGAAGCGAACCACCGCTGAAACGGGTACGAAACTCTGATATTTACACTATACAATGCTCATTGGCTTCCCAAAACACAGGTAATTCACCTACTTTTCAAACACTAAGGCCTCAAAACACTGAAAGGGTTCACAAAAACGAACATGCCCACGAGACGAAAGCCTCAAAAACCAGGGGCCCTAATAAGAACGTGTGACCATGTAGATATATATATATATATATACACATGTATATATAGATATACATGTATATATATATATATATATGTGTATATTTTTTTATACATATTGTATATATATATGTATATGACCCAGACAGGATCCATGGGACTGGGATTTAAACATGATGCTGCCACATGTTGTTTTCTCTTTTCAACCCCAGCTGACACGCTAATCCTCGTGTTGGAGATCTAGGCGGTGCAACCTCGCCATCGACGCGAGGAACCCCAAAACAGGGGCCCGTGTTTGTATAGGGTGCATCCCTAGAGCTGGTATGTCTAGGTTGTTGACCGTTGGTTAGCTTATTGCCTCAAGCAGAAACAAAACAGTCTCTAATTTGAGGCAACAACCACCCTTGTCCTGTGTTTTTTGGGAAGGCTTCTGGAAAAATACATCACGCACACAGTTATAATACGTATGTGAGAACCTCTCTTTGCGCATGCAGTAGAAGATGTTCTAGGACAACCACGTCATCCAGGTCGTTTTGGGAGCTCTGAATGATCTCGCAAGTGTCGATCCTCGCCAAGCGGCCATGGTTTTGGGAGAACGATGACCTTCCGGACAACCCGGCGGCTTTTCGACACACTGACCTCACCTCGATTCGAGCATTTCTTTGAATTGTCTCAAAATACGTCAATGAGATGATCCTTTGACCCCGGAATTCTTAGGAATTACCCGTGGTTCACTATTGTGTGTCATACCCTTTTCGTGTGACCCAAGTGTTCTTTTTGAGGGTGTAATCGTGATTCCATTTGTGACAATGCTTTGTCAGTTGTTTTGTTGAATAAACCACGCCAGAGGGGACAACCGATTTTGCACATGAAGTGCTTGGGGGAAATGAAACTATCCAACAACTACAACCTGATATATAGTGGATTGAGAGTAGATTGCACAGACCGTAAGAGGTGGTGAATATATGAACCCCCATGTAAAGAACGTATGGAGGTCTGTGCCATCTACTTTGAAACCACTGTAACCTGATACACCGCAAGACATTTCCATGTTCAATGCAATTAATTCCAAGATCTCAAGCTGAATCAAGTCTGAGAAGAAAGATCCCCATTGGAAGGACATCCGATTTGCCAAGCTATGCTTGGAGCTGCACCCCGATGATTGGGAAAGCAGAAGTTTTTCAAGCAGGTCCTCAGGTTCAGGGCTTTGAGTCTTGAAGAAGTGGCCAGAGAATGTCTAGTGGATCTGAAGTCTGGATGTGAAGGATGTGAGGGAATCTTAGATGAACCGATGTGAAGTTTTGGAAGCACTGAACCCCCGAGCCTGTGATACCTGATCGATCCATTGGGATCACTCCGAGGTTTGGAATCTGAAGTTCTCATGGTCAGAAGTTCAATGGCAAAGGATGAAGCACTGGACTTGTTTGTAAAAAACATCTCTGAAACATCTACCTTTGGGACAAGGACGCTACTAGGAGCAAAGGGCATCGCTACTAGGAACAAGTGCATCGCTTCTAGTAACAAGTGCCTTACTAGTAGTAACAAGAAGCTACTAGAAACAAGTGCCACGCTAGTAGTAACAGGTGCCTTACTAGTAGTAACAATGACGCTGGTGGGTTTGTCACATGCCGTACCTGCACGGTGCGACCGGATCGGATCTGTCGTGATGGGGAGATCTGAAGGCGAAGGCAGCACGTTTTACGAAAAGCTCCAACAGATTCACACCCTTTTTGGGGGAAGGTGGCTTCACGATTTCCTTGTTTTGATTTGCCTCTTGATGTTTCGTAGGCCCCCAACATAAGACCTAGGCTATGACAAGGCCTAGTCAGGCAGGGTCATATCTAATCAATCCTGATTGAAGACATTCACACGTGAGGGAAATGCAAGCAATGTGATTTGCTGTTTTTTTTTCTGTATCTATCTATCTATCTATCTATCTATTAAAATATTTTGTTGTAGTCGTACCATTGCATTTGCAGTCAATGAGGAAGGACAATTTCACTGTCCTATACCACTTGGTCAATGTAGGGTGATTCTTATTGGTGTGCATTAACCCTATAAACACCGCCTGTTCTTTGGCATGATTTGCCTTCATTTACAGAGTTCGATCATTTTTGCTGTGCCGGTTGCCTCGAACTTTGACCATTTACCTCGAATGTTTGAAATACTCTCACGACGGTCTCTAGGAGACATCTCCCGAACTAAAGCCAAAGTGATCGCTGAGGTCAAGCAAGATGCTACTTTGTGGGCGCAGGGGCAGGTTCTTTCACTCCTTGAAAAGGAGTTTTTGTCCTGCCCGCGTTTGCAGCTATGGCGCAGAATGGGGAACCCACCCTACAGTTCGGACTTGCGCTGGTGGGGCGACCAACGTTGGTGCTTGTTCCAACCATTTCAGAACTCTCATTGAACGTTCAATGAGTTTGAGTCGAGGAGTAGTGATTTCAAGAACTGAGGCGTAAGGCGTGTAAGGTAAGGAATGATTGTTTAAAAGAACTGGATACTTACATTTCTTGTGACTGTAGAATGACCAGACAGCTCCCTCAGTCCGGCCACAGGACAGGAATGTGAGAACCAGCTGGTGACTCCTGCCATCTACTTTGCATTATCTATGTCAATGTCCCCAGAACTATGAGTGCGTAACATATTACAAGCAAGCACTTCAGTGGTTGAGAGATGCAAAGACAAGTTCCTGAACCAACAGACTTGATGCAGGTCTTTTTGTTGTTCCAGATCGAAAGTAAGCAATGTCAAATGTGCGTTTAGAGGGGATTCACTGGTGTTTGTCATTTTGCCTATCTATGTTTGTCTAAGGGCACCTGAAAGTATTCTTGCTTTAATTTGAAAGAGCAAAACTCTGTTTTGCCGAATTGCATATTTGTCGGGCATGTTCCATTGCTTGGTTGCTTCGGACCGGCCATTAGTTATAGTACGTTGTAGTATATATAGTAGTTCATCTCGATTGCGGCCAGTTTCTCCGAATTGAAATGCCCAGTTTCTCCCCGGAGGGAGTCTGGTTGTGGGGGATTTGGGTCCCCGATTCAGAGCCAGAGCCATGAACAACTGCATTTACGTTGAGCGTTTCAGCTCAAATTGAGACCGACGACCGCTATCTCAATGAGCAAAAGAACACCCTCGACCTGGGGCAGCAGGGGGGGGGAAGTGATTGCAAGACCTTTGACAACACAAAGACATACAAAGACTACGAATTGCACACCCATGAAAAGGAACATGTCTTTGCCAGCCTGGCTTCTCGAGAGATCGGCATCGATTGTCCGATACACAATCCAACTCATTCTCAGCATAATGTATAGAGGATCATCTCGAACACGGGGCTTTTGACCTGCCTACATGCTGATGTTCGTTGAACATTGACATTGCAAGAGACTGGTGCACCTCAGTTGCTCATGCTGGTCCCACCCGAATCGGATCCATGGCAGGAGGTATACCCATTTGGTCAAGAGGGGCAGACAATTCACCAACATTTAATGATATTTAATGTGTTGTTTTGCCTGATCTTTGGAGTGAAATGGTCTCCCAGTATCCACATTCAACTATATTTATATCCATGACACCATGACTCGGCTTCCAGATGTTTTCCGCAAGTCACACCTGAAGAGTGCCAAAACTGCTTGGAGTGCCAAAGACCAACCTGAAGAGCGCTCCAACGGGTGAAGCCTTTCGCAAAGAGACAGTGAGGGTGGCTGGAGCCCTTGGTCGGGAGGTGTGCAATGGGTGTTGGCTTAAGATGGTATGTTCAAAGGCTGCAGCCCACTTACCAGGTTGGCAAAAACACGCAAAGCAACATGAAATCTAGGTAACATGTAAACATGCTCCATTGAAAGTGTTTTAATCCATAGATCTTGTTCTATTAAAGCTCAGATTGTTTTTAGTCACCAAAAGATTCTCCAGCTCGCTCCCTCCCAAGGTCTGCGCTGGTTGCATGATGTGACTGCAGCGCGGGGAGCGGACCGGAGAGACGCGAGCTGCGCGAGCTACGCTTCGGCCGTGCAGGAAGTGCATAACCAAAAAGTGCCTCGATCTGTGGTTGGTCGATGCGAGGGGATCTGCGGTTGGTCGATTCTTCTTCCGTGGCCCAATTCGGTGCTTCGGTGGTGTTCGTTTTTGGAGCTTGGAGCACCACGCTCACTTGTTGTTTGAGAATATTCGTTATAACAAGGTGGAAACTGGAATTCACGGCGACATGGACAGCAGATGCGCATCAAAGCACGAGTTGCAAGCACCTTCACACGAGGGTTAGAGTGCACGGCACAATCTTGTTACTGGTGTTCTAGGATCTCCATCAATCACCATGCAGAACTACCAATTTCACAACCAGACTCTTTGTGTGTATATAAAAAGTTAGTGCCATGGCCCCACCCCTAGTCCCGGCCCTTCTGAGCGAATCCTGGGGAATTCCACATGTCGTTGGGACCTGCGGATGTTTCTTCTTTGCCCGCCTCCGAAAACGTCCGCTCGGTCTGACCGAGTGCAAACAAAGTGTTGTGTAGTTTATGTGTAGGTCAAGAGTCAAGACCTAGGGACACTCAGGAATCTGAAGGTACCCAAAAGCAAAGAAGGTACATCACTTTTAGAAATCGACTTGGAGTTCTGGTCTTTGCAGATACCGATCCATGATCCATCCGGCAAACCCCAATGGTGGGCGTTGCCACCCTGAAAACCATCCGCTCAAAACCTGATTTCAGATCCATCCGATAAATCAAAAACCGACCAGGGCCCCCCCCATATATATATATACTGTATATATAATCATGAGGTTTGTTCTTTTGCCTGTAACAGTTGGTGAACAACTAAAGAAAGGCCTTCACTAACCATAATCCACTGTTACTGGTAATGGAATATCCAATATTATCAAATATGTATAACTTAATATAACATATCTAATGTAATATGTAATATCATGAAATATCTAACATATAGCTAACATCCAATATATATATATATACAGTATACTATAGTCTATAGTAACATACTATTATATACATGCATGTCTCCTGCAGATCTTAGATCGTGGCCGAACATCCGAGGCCCTGGGACCTGCCGGTGTGCTGCTCTCGCGCGGCGAGGCGTCGTCCGGTCCCGGTCGTCCGACGGGGAAATCGACGTTTTTGAGCCAACTTGAGCCGAGCGATTTGGAGTCATGCCAAACTAACCAGTTCTAAGATAGGTTGGCCAAGATGTTGACAAGATGTTTGGTTCTTTTAAGGTCCTAGCAGGCTGTTTAATATACTCGCACATGATGTTTATATATATATACACACAGTGTATGCATATATATATATATATTGGCTTAGTTGTTCGTTGCTTTTTAAAAGAATGGTCAAAACATGCCGCGCCAGGCGACACAGGTGTATCATGCGATTTTAATTTCTCATGAAACTATTGTTCTGAAAGGTCATCCTGGGGGCTCAGAGCACGTTGTTCTTTCTTTGGCAATCTTATGGTTAGAATCTTCCTCCCATAGGCTGAAACCACCTCGTTTTGTTTCCACTACGCCATACGCATGTTGTTTGTTGTTTATCATGTATTTTTTCAGAACCACATAATGAGTTCTATCACTTCGACGTCGAAGGGAAGATCGCATAGCAATAGCTTCTTGAATGGGAAACCCATTTGGGTCGACACTATGCACCACATGTTTGTTTCTGCGCTGTTCTCACTGTCTTTCTCTCCCCTCTCAAGTCTACCTTGCCTGCTGTTTGAGGGACTGCTAGACGGAGCACCTCACATAGATTCGGCAGACCACAATAAGCAGACAGACAAACCGCAGGTGGTGGAGGTGCTGGAGGACCCGGCTTCCACGGGAGACCACGGGAGACGGTTTGCAATTGGAACGGTGGAGAGCATCCGAAAGACATGTTTTTTCTGGGACAGAAATCTACTCATGGACCCCCTCCAGTGGCGCGTCCAGTGGCCTCATAGATGTAGTGTAGTCCATTGATTAACCTATATCTTGGTCTCCTGGTCTTTTAGGGGCATTTGCTGTGGGAATATGATGTTTTGCTGGGTAAGCTTGCGTGTTTGGGTGCTGGTTCAACTATATAATTATGTGTTTGTCAACATGTGCTTGCGATGATTGAACTCACTGCCACGTTTTGTTCTAGTTTACTAAGTGACTTGAAACCACCAACCAGTGGTATTCTGGATGATTGGGATCGATCTCAACGATTCGACTGGAGGGCAGAGGGCGATGCGTGGTTCTTGCTGCCCCAGATGTGAACCTTTCCCTTGAAAGACACGCCAAGCTCTGAAAGTCGACGCCACTTCTTGAAGCGGAGGGTTCACTTGGCCTGTGGGCACTGGCTGATGCTGGCGGTGTTCCAGTATAGGTGAAACCATTTGAAAGAACTGGCCTGTTTGTCGATGTTTGTGGAGGCCTTTGTGGTATCAGTTTCCACGGAGCTCGATCAGTTTCCACGGATTATGGCAAATGTTTCGAGCTTTGCCCCTTTAGTCGATGTATCTCAAACAGTCGACGAAACAACTGCCACCCGCTACCCGCAGCTAGCCTTCATCTCTTCGATCGAGTCAGCAGAAAAACTCTCACCCAAATACAAACCAACATGGTCTTAGGAACGAAGAAAAGAAAGCATCCGTTTCCACCTCTTTGATGAACAATGAGATATGATAAGTCTTTCGGGTGTACTGAAAAAGCCAAAATCTACCATAGCACTCGACCAACGACTGTCCCGCGCAGGTAAACAACGCGGCAAATGCCGGTGCCGTTTTCAAGCTCTAGGGGAGTTGTGCACTTAACTAGTAAAGATGGGCCCTGAATAAAGTTTGAAAGGATTTGATTTGACGACTTGACATCATGAGTCACTAATCTGTTGTTCACTTTACTGAACTTCAGCTGGACATCTACTTGTGGGCGCGTCGAGGTAGGGAGCACCTGAAAGTATTGATGGCGATTGCATTGATTGATTGCTTCCAACACGGAGGATCCAGGGCGCCGCAGCCTCACTGAAAACCTGGATGAGCGTCATTCTGAACCTGTAAAGGCACCATATCACACCCACTAGAACCTGCAGAACGCTGCAGAAGCCACACGTTCTGCAGAACCGAGCCCAGTCCACACCGTTCCGGGTGCAAAAACCGACTCGACGCCATCGCCATGGGGTGCCGACTTGACCTTCGCCGAAGGCCGCGGTCAAACGAGGCCGAGAAGCTGGTCGGAAGAGACGAGAGCCATTGGTGGCAAACCCAGGGATGATATCATCACAAAGGAGCACTCAGCACCGGACGAGAATGGGATGAGCATGCCCCGTTTTTTTTTGTTTGTGTGACAGTGTGTGATAGATTTTCTATGGATTGAATTGATCTCATGAACTGTACTACATGCATGTATGTACACCTAGAACCCAGTTGAGCGGAAAAAACCGAGCTGATTTAAATTTTGGTTGGTGGACTCAAAAACACCTAGAATCTAGAACCCATCTCACCCCTGTTTTGATAGGAAAAAGATCAAATTTTGGGTTGCTTGGTGGTCTCAAATAGAGATCACTCAGGGTCTAGGTATATGCCCTAGTTCGGCTCAGAAAGGACCCTCACTTCGGGTTTTGACTGGTTTTGGGAACCGTTGGTTCGGGTCCGCGAGCCGGTTGCGAAGTAGGTCGTTCGGAGTTGAACAGAACATGAAGCAACAAATATGAGAGAAACGATGAGACACGTGGCATTGGCCTTGATCTCAACCATGCTCCTTGCCGTTGGGTGGCCTTCGCACAGGTCTAGCGCGCCTTCCACCGGTCCATGTTGGCCTTCCTGAGTCTCGTTCCGACGTCCGGTGAGGTGGAAAGCAGTCGGGACTGGAGCGGAAAAGCTGTCGGGTGCTGATTCATCCAACAAGTACATCTTACCTTAGAAAATGAATCTGGGGTAGGGGGTAGATGACCCCCGTGCAATAAGGGGCTCAAAATGCTTGGGGTGGCCAGAAGAGGACCTCATGGACGTGGTCATGCAAGGGCTTTTTTGAACAGGAGAACCTTCCAGTTGTTTTTTAGTTGTTTCAATGTTATTATCTATTTTGTTTTTTATTTTTGCGGATTTTGCGGATGTTGGGTGCTTTTTGTTGTTAGGTCAACTTTACGTACAACCAACTCTCCAAAAGCAAGTGCTTGGTGTCATGTTCTGGTTCTTCACTCATTCCCTGGATGCCATATATTATATATGTTGAAGCGGAACGATCAAATGTGCAGCTACACTATATTGATATGCATACTTTAGGCAGACAAAAGTTTTACGCTTGTTAACTAAATATGCTCATCAAATGCTAAATGGGTCAGCCACGGATCAAATGACCGGCGCACCCGGTCCCAGGTCAGGTCTCCCGATGTAGGATTCAGTGTATACCCAATGGAATCACCACATACCCTGAGAGGGGACACACTGAGAGGGTCCAAGTACCTTCTGAAACCGTTTGTGGATTCTTGGGGTTTTATATCAACTGGCAACCCTCGAAGGCCCGAAGGTCAGGCTCTACCCCCCTCATGCGGATGGATGGAGGCCAAGAAAAACCAATAGCCTGGAAGTGTCACCATGGCGGTCCCTGGAGGCCAAGTTGTACATCCAATCTGGGGCCTTTTCCACAAAGTAGAACGTTGCGGATATCCAGAAAGATCCACAAAGTGATGCAATTGAACCATTGGCAAGAGGCTCCATCACAGAATGGAATTCACCCTTTCCTTGAACATCAACAACTATAAATAAATACATATAATTACTGTCAATGCATCATGCCACATTATAAAGTGTAACTCTATGTTTTTGCTTGGCCACCAGGGGCACGGCAGAGCCATGCATTATCATAGGAACTATAGGTTGCGGTTCCCCAGGTCACCTGGCGTAAATAAGGCGCCTGGGGAACTGCTTGGTCACTCCCACCCAGCGCTTGTTCCATTCGCACAATTTGTTCACTTCGTGAGTTGAGCGATCCGTTTCAAGAACTGGCAAGGTTTCACCTTGCCCAAGGAGCGACGCCACTGAACGGAACACTAAAAAGATCTAAAAAGATGATCAAAGAATCAAACACAAACGGATCCACTAAAAAGAACGGTTGTAAAGGAGTTGGAAAGTCAAGACGAGCTAAACTTCGCTCACAATCGAACCCCAACCGCAACAACACCACACTACACAGACCTAAAACTGCTTCCGAATCCATGAAGCCAAAACCTGCAGGACAATGAAAAATGACACACGACAAACTTTCGAACTTCGCCCCCCGTCCCCCCCTTGGTGCTGCTTACTCATCTCACAAAAACGCAACCAACATATAATATACAACAAAGTAACCCCTACCATCAAATATTGGGCGCATCGCTCTCCCCAGGCACCCTGCGGGAACTACCAGTCGACATGGGGAACCGCTTGCAACTACCGCATTCACCCTCTCCTCCGTTGAATACCTTTTGAACATTTGTTGCTCCTGCTCTTGAAGCACACTTTTTGATCTGAGGGATTGATCGTATGCAGAACATGCTTGATTGAAACCTAAGTGTTTGATTATGTAACAAACCTGTATCTTCGAGAACACTTGCACGGCTTTGCCCTGGAAGTGTTGACTCCGAAAGATCTGGAAGGAATCAGTATTCCTTAGACTAAGGTCATTTTAATGCCTGGTATGCTCATTTCACAATCAATGCCCCCACCATCGAGCCAGTATTTCGAGCGAAAGTGTTGATTCTCACCAACTGGGGCAATTTAGTGATAAGTGTTCAGCACAGCGGGCCAGGCATTTTCTTTGGACCTCAGGAATCTCGGGCTCTTGCCGGACCTCCCCGAGAGCCTCCGTGGTAATTGCCTCTTCCGAAAGGCGGTGGCGGTGCCTTGGACGAATGGTCGTTTTCCCCAAACGATTCAAACGGGTCGAAACCGCTGAAAACAAAAAGCGCTTGGGTTGGAAACTGGAATCGTCAGGACTTCCCAGTCCCAGTGAGAGATCCTGACGTTCGATCACACCCACTTGCTTCTGCTGGATTGTAGCTACCCAGCTACCCCCCCATAGCAGAAGTAACCAATTGATTCCGGTCTTAAATCCTGGCCTTGATAAGATGACGATGAGATAAATACAACCAACCATATCACCACACCCAACAAATCTATGGCGACCAGTAAATCCACTGAGTATATACGCATTATATACGCATGTATGTTTGTGCAATGTCACCTTAGAGGTTAAGGGCGTGCTGAAGCATCCCTTGTCGGCCCTGGTATACGTATTTATTATAGCTATAATATGCTATAATACTCTTTAGTATAAGAAGTAGTCAAGTTGGTCTGTGGTCTTTGTTTGGTGACCCCAATGCTTGCATCGTCCCGGTTTAGATGGCGCCGCAGGTGTTTACCGCTGAAAGCCATCATGCCTGGATTGTGGGCCCAGATGTTGTTGCCACCCCCACAAAGGGCTTTGGCCACCGTCCGCGTAGCTGGTACGTCAGAGGATGGCACTTCTTCGTCGGAATGATTGCACCACTCACTTTTTCGTCGGCCTTGCTGAATGTATATAATATGAAAGAACCTCAAAAACCATCCTCAACAGGGCTTATGATGATCACTACAGGTCACGTGATTGAACATCCCATAGCCTGCGTGGACCTCATGGGAACCCCGTCCATGTGCTGTACAAGCAGCTGTCATGTGTTTTGTGCAAGGTATTTGGTGACTGTCTTGTACCGATATATCATAGTACCAGTGGATTCACCACTATATTATATAGTTTGGTTACATACCCAGTGGATCCAATTACCACTACAGAATAATTGAAATAGCAAGCCGTTTCAAAGACTCAAACCGACGAGCAAAACCGGGAGGACGCTGATGGTGAAACCTGCCAAGGCAAGGACCGAGCAACACTGCATTGAGAGCTATGCGGACTTCCTAGGATGCAAGCAGGAGGGGAAGATGCTGGAGCCTAGATGGTGGAAGGAACACTGATTGGATTTGGCTCAAAGAGAGATGCATGAAGACCAGAAACCAGAAACATCGCACCTACTTGTGATACTAACAGGTCTTTTGAGATGAGACACCTGGGATTGGATGTATTCGCCACCCTGATTTGCAGATATTGGTGGCTTTGGATGAGGGTAGTGAAGATGCAAACAATAAAACATTGGTTTTGGGAGGCATTGGAAGGCATGGTTTTCGGGAAAACGTGTCAAAAATGCTGTCCACTACAGTGAATTGTGAACACTTGCTTTCTGCTAAGCTTTTGGAAGCTCGAGGAGTGAAGGTGCCAAAAACACTGTAAAATACCGAGTAAGCGAAACTTGGGAGGTAAAAGTCTCAGGGGTGGCATTCACCCAAAGGGGTCACACCATTGGACCCACAGCCCAGCTCGGCTTCCTGAAAGCAAAAGCCCCGAATCCATTCCCTCCACATGGCTCAACCAAGAAGACCAGGCGTTTTGTGCTATGGACCATAAATAAGACATGTACCAAATGTAAATATGGAACCTGAGTGACCTCTAGTTTGGAACCACCAACCACCCAGACCCTCCAAAAAAGTTGCCTTTTCCTATCAACACAGGGGTCAAGTGGGTTCTCTATATATATATATATACTGTATATATTTGCGTATGGTGATAATTGTTTGACTCTCCTCCTTCGGTCAACGACACTTGGAAGGAAGTTCTGGGACTTTCATGTTTGGGTGGTTTTGCGCTTGGGCTGTTTAATTCCAATCTTTTGTCGGAATGGCTATTCCGTTCTTTGAATCCGATTTGACCAACGTTTTGGGTGGATGGTGCATATATATATATATATAGTATATACAGCATGTAAATTTGGTGATCATTGAGGCCAAGTGCCGTTGAACTCTTAGACCCCTTTTACCCAGTCCTGGCCAGGAGCCTGTAGCCATGCAGCCCTTTGGCTGGATAAGTTGGGAATCGGATTAGGTTGCAGGCACACCTAGCAAAATGATTTTAAAAAAGCGGACCCTCGAATGGGAAGGTTTTGAGGGTCACCGACTTTGGCCATAGAGGGCCTAAGGAATTCTTAGGTACCAAAAAACTACATAGTAGCTTCTTGTTTCTAGTAGTGATTCCTGGAGATGCATGTGTTCTGAATGGCAAGTGCCATGCGTTGCTCCCACAGCGCCTGAAGAAGTCAGCACATGTTTGACCACTGGAACGACCGCTGGAGTCGTCGGATGTGGTTTTTTCAGACTTGAGAGGAGAAACCACCAACTGACTCATATGGTTTCAAGTGAGTTAAAAGCACCAACCAGGAAGGCGAGCGGGGATATTTCCGGAAGCTTGAACTGATGAAGTGTTTGACGGTTGCCGAAAAGTCTCCTGCGACGAAGTAGAATAGATATTGAAGAGGTTGTTGTTTCTGTCTTCCAGGTCCATCTCAAGTTAGGCTTCTGTTTTGGGGTTCCCAGGTCGGGAATCACACATGAAAAATCGGTGTGACATCCACTACACATTCCTTTGGCCAAAATGCCCTGCCTTCCGGGGCTCCCGTCAACCCCCCCGAGAACTTTCACGAAGACCGAAGACGTGGTTCACTGCGGCCGTTTCACGGCACATGGGGCGAACTCAAAACATCTCCGAACCCGCTATTAAAAAGGCAAAAATACACCAGTGTAGCCAGCAAAATCATGTTGATGTTACTGGGAACTTGGCTTACCAGATGCATTCCCATCTAACATTCTTCAAGGCCACGTCCTTCCAAGGCAGATGTCTTTGGCGCACAGCTCTCAAGCACTCTATGCCATGGCCAGTGAGGTGCTTCGTAGAGCGGACCCAGACTCCAAGGTTTTCTGGTGACCTGGTGGGTCGCATCATATCGCATCAAACACAGCAGATCAGCAACAGGATACGGACATCCGATGTCAAATCTTCCAACTGTTTGTTAGTGTGTGTGTTTGGGTTTTGTTTGACAAGGAAGCCAACGGTGACAGGTTTTTGCAGCACCAAACCATGCCAAACCTATTCTTCCAGTGGAGCCGCCCATGACAAAGCCACTCGGCTCCTAGCTCCTGCAGACCCAGTGAAGGATGTGAACATCTCATCGGGTGCCCGGAGCAGCCGGTCACCAACAAAAGACTTCCTCCTTGCTGGCATTGCTGAGGAGTTGATAGCTGAAGTATCCCATAACATCAGGGCCGTGCTGGTGGCTGTAGAGTGCTGTAGGTGTTATGAGTACCAATGATGTGGATATCGTGGTATATCGGTATATCTCTACATTTTAAAGTACGGAGACAACGGCCAACACCTGCACCTGATTCTTCTTGGTCACAGCAAAGGCAGACGGTAGGCATGATGTCAGTCGGTGATGCCAAAATGAAGTAGACCCACCGAGACTTCATGTCCAGGCCTCCGCGGTGGTGTTGCCTTACATCAACAGCGCTGTGGGCCGCTTGGTTCGAGGATCTGAACAAATTGCAGATTCATCAGGTTAAAAGTTAGTAGATCATGTTCTCTGGCCAATTCTCCGATGTTCCGGAAAGTTTGTCTGGAACCATGTCAGGGCTCCAACATGGCACCCTCAGATCGGCCAGTGGTAGATGGATCGCCCCGGGATTTCGGATTTCTCGTCTAACTTGAGCTACGTTTGTAGCGTCCTTGTTGCTACCAATAGTAATGCCCTTAGTTACGAGTAGCGATGCCCTGGTTACTAGTAGCTGCAGTAGCTTCGAACGCTGCTCCAGAGCTGCGAACGCTTAGCTGGCGCCCGAGCCGAGCGAGCGTCGGAGCGTCGGACCGAGCGGTCGGCAGGTGGTAACGTGCAAACCTTTGCGATGAGGCTGAACTGCAGATGGCGAGTTGGGATCCGTTCAAGGCCCAGCCACCGGTCAAGGCATGAATACGAACATTCCATCTGAAGGCAGGGGCTGTAATGGGCATGTGATGCAGATGATGATTCAGACCTGCTGACCTGCTCGCCTTTGGACCACATGATGTGTTTAGACCACTGTTTAGACCATCACAGACAGAGGCCTGATTCACCAGAAGATTGAGCTAAGATTTTTTGTGGGGTTGAACATTGAAAGGATTGTGCCTCTTATATCCAGAGACAGATTTCCTTCCTGCCTTGAGTTGTAATATTTTTTGTGGGCGGTCATTGGCACCTGCCAAGCACAGCGAGAGCAAAGCCCAGGCTTCGGCCAAAATGGCTAAGTGAAAGATGATCATACTATGAATAATCTAAATGTGTGTCATGTTTCATGTTTATGTATATTATATAAATTATATGTAACAAAACATGAACCAACTCAGTCAGTCAGAGACCATTGAAAGGTTTTTTGTAGATGAACAAGCTTCAGTCAAACCCCGAGACTCCTGCTTTGGGGGGGCCCGAGTCCAGCCAAGTAGAATGAGGGTTTGATGGGTCCCAACCGATGATTTCCCATGTACGGATAGAAATGGGAGTCATGTCCCATATGAGGGTCCCGGGTCCTCAAATGAGGGGACCTCGGAACCTTGATTCTTTAGACATCACAAGCACTCCCCAAATCCCGCAGGTCTTCGGTTGACCACCCAGCCACTTGGCCCGGAGGGCTCCATTATGCTCCAACCACATCCTCAAGAAGTGGTTGGAGTGCGTTTGGAGGGTCTAACTACCTTCTGAGGATGTGGGACAGAATCCCTAGGGTTGGAGCACCCCAAATATCCCCTAGCACATCTCCCATCACGCCTTGCTCACTGCTTGGTCATCTTCGGATCCTTGGTCATCTGCGTGGACTGACCTTTGGACTCGCTCGACTTAGGATGCAGAGCGTCACGTCGATCAGCCAAGTGTCTGGGCAGATGGCGTCACTTCGATCATCCCGGTTTCGTGCTGGAGGAAGAAACCCTGCACCACCGAATGGCCAGGAAAAGATCCCAATCCCCGTCCTTCCTAAATCCAAAGGGCCAAAGAAGAACCCGCCCACGACACATGCGCGCACTTAAAAAAGGGATACTTAGACATGTATTCATTCCAACCCTTCGTTTGACTGGTGCTTCGTGTGCAACCAGTGAATCCTTATTGGTGTGCTAACCCGGAGTCTTGAGAACCACATGTGCCCAACAATCCCCATGACTCAGGGGAGATCATTCAGACCCCTTTCCCACAGACCCTGTTCAATGATCAACAGGGTCTGTGACAGCGTTCAGTGACCACCTCACCAAGGTTCTTGGTGGCCTTTGCTTCGGCCACTATGCTGACCGTTTTGGCCCCCGCTGGGCGCTGCTGACGGCGCATGGCGCGGCCATGAGTGGCGTGGCACGACAGGGCACCAAACTGCAGAGATAGCACACCCTCAAAGCGATCCTGACATGGTTAAAGGCCGAAGAGATCTACATATCATATCTATCTGATGACGGCATAGCGGGCAATCCGCACGGCAGGGCAAAACGGATCTGAAACTTAGCCGTGAAAAGCGTGGACCTGACAAAGATCAGGAGTAGGTGCCCTTTGATTCAGACTGTCCTTTTCGCACACATTGCGCTTTAGTATGCGTTGTGCCCCGAAGTCAGTCGTTGTCCTTTCCTCGCTGAGCCACGACCACCACGCCGCGACGCCGGATTCCGCCGGATGCCGTTCGGCGGTAGTGCTTTACCACGGGCGGAGGCAGTGCGATTCTGGTGGCTTCTGCGCAGAGCCGTCCGTCCCTCTTCCTGGCGATGATGCCGCTGACACTGGCGCATGGCTTTCAGGACGGACACGGATGATCTCAGATGTGGCACGGAAGCTTCTTGCGCCGAACTACACTTCACTGATGGGGCTGAGTTTGGGGAGCTCAAGATGGCATCAATTCAGAAAAACTCCGAAAGCCATGCCTCCTACTTCAGGTGCCACTGCACCTAGCATGAACAATAAGTGTATGCAGAGGATCAGAGGATGGGTTCACAGGAGTAGGAGGCTTTTCTTCGGACACCCGACCCACTGTTCATGTTTCGTTTAAGACGTGAGACTTCACCCGCAAAGGGCCACATCATTAGGTTGGTAAATTCTTTTCATCGCTCGTGGACGCCCCAAACCTGCCGAGTGGCTGCAGTGCTCAGACGCCGGCCGCGGTGCTAGGCCTCCGGCCAGATTGCCGTGCAGTGCTCAGAGCCGGAGCAGCGCAGTGTCACTTGGATTGGCAGGGACGCACCATGTATGCCTGTGATTGTGGGTCAAAAGCATGTCAAACAAAAAAACAACAGATCCCAGGTTTTGACACGTTCTTTGGAGCACTCTTTGTGCAGACTTGTTGCTGGGGATGTCAAGGGTCTAGGCACCTTTGGAATTTTGGATGATTTTGGTGGAGTCGTGGTCGTGACAATCGACATTTTCTGTGTAGACAAGGTCAATAGAATCCTCAGAAGTGGTAAGTTGGGAGGAGAGAAGGTGGATTCGGACTATGTCGTGTTGCTTGTAGAGAAGCTTGCTCGGATTGCAGACTTGGTTGGGCTTGGCTCGTCCACTGGTCCACTGCTTCTCGCCATTATTGGGCTGTTCGCAAGCAGCGCGTTGCGCTTGTGCCTTCGTTGCCTTCACCACCCTGCTGTTCAGGTGTCTGCAGGTCCAGATGTCCGGTTTTCACATCCTGCTGGGCATGCGAGGTTTTGCCTTTTCTGTGGGAACTCGTGCAGGAAAACCAACATCCGCACTCGTCAGATTGTGTCGAATGTGAATCGATTCAGATCAAGGAACTGCAGTCGACGAAGAAGTTGCGTCCTCAAGCACTCTTTGGAAAGAGGTCTCTGTGAACAGAAATGTTGCATCCATTTGGTTGCTTGGTTGGACTCTCTGACTTGCCGACAAGATTCCTTTCATAGGCTGCGGCGAGGACCTCAGAGTACTCGCTGCTCTTTTGCACGGAAGGATGTGGTGAGCAACTCGAGAACCACGACCGAAAGTTGAACGGTTCATTGCTCGTGCCAGGGGCGTTTGAACTATACAGAATGTGCACCAATCAAAATAATGGCTTTGGGATGCTTTGGGCTTTGGCCTACAAAAAAGTGATTTCCCGCGGTTTCCCAGAAAAACTAGATCAACATGGTCACGCATGGTCTTAATGGTTGTTGATTAGCTGGTGGAATGGCAAATGTGTCGAATGACATGCTCAAGATGGTGGTGGAAGTCACCACACCTAAGTGGATGCCACTCGACCTCCTCCCATTTTGTTGTCCTGGCTTGTCCTACCTTCGCCAACCTCCTACGCCGCCACATCCTCAGGTAGCGATGGGCCGCATCTCTGGAAGTTGCTTTTCGAGATTCATTGGGTGAGGGTGCAAAAACGAATCATATGTGTGTATTTTACTAGGGAGACCCCCAACCAATAATATGTCCTTTCTTCCAGGGGATTGTTGGGAGGCATCTAGATCACAATAGAAAGGACGGATGACAAACAAGTTAGAACAAATTAATTGAACAACATGAGAACAGTGGATTACAAAGTAAATAATACTGAGTAGCTCGCCTAGCCCGGTCGCCTGGTCCTTGGTCCCCATTGGTCCCTTTGCCCATTGGTCCGCTGGCCTCATGATCCGGTCAAAAACATTGCCGGCCCTGCTGTTTCTTCATTCATGTTCTATCATTTTCTCTTTTTCCTTTCATTGCTCACTTGGATTCTTTTGGGATCCCTTGCCTTTGTTTTTCTGTTTGATCCTCATCAAAAATGTTTCTTTTTATTGATGCTGTGTTCTTTTCCTGATGCTTCACCGTCTTTGGGATGTTTCCGTTAAGAGACTTTCATTCATCCGTAGTCAGTGATGGACTCGCGGCACCACGCCCACGATTTCAATTCACCGATCACCGAGGGGCCAGTATGAAGGGCCAGTTCCCGCAAATTCCATTTGTCCACAAAAGGGCATGTGGTTTTCATTGGTATTCTACTAGGTACTAGCGTTAAGTCGACTCAGCTTGTGTAAAGTCGACTGGAAACCGTGTGCCCTTGCAGAACTGCACTCCACAGGGATGTCTAAGCATAGATTGTATTGATCTATAACACATGTTCTGTGTTGTGCCCATGTTGTGCACACCGCTTGTATTGTGTTCTATAAACAACGACGGCCGACTAGATAGAAATATGTTTGACTCCGGGCAACATTGATTTTTTGACTGTTTTGTTTCGACTTTTTTACTTATGGCGTGTTATTTACAGTGTTTTGAGAAATGTGTGATGTTGATTTTGATTGTGCTGGTATTTACAGCACTTTTGGCACCTGGTGTTGATTTTTCACTGGTATTTAATGCGGCATAGCATCTCAACATACTTAAAGCGTTCAAGAAACTGAGCTATTGCTTTGACCCGAGTATCATAACTAGAACCTGAAAGTTGAAACCAATACGGTAGGTGAACATACTCTTTCAATATGAACATTCCCAAAACTCTGCCCATGTTGGTTTTGGGAGGGTTCACCAGGTGATGCTTAGCCACCCCTAGACACACTGTTCGAGAAGGGTGGGATGCCATTTTCTCAGCCAGCCTGATTCAGATCTCTCCACCAGCCTGGAGCTTTTGGAGGGGGGATGACGAGCACATGCTTTGTTTTTTGCCCCGTAACAGTCCGAAGGTGCGGAGCCGCGACTCGCGGCGGGGAGGCGGAGCGCCAACGTAGCAAAAGTAGCGAAGTCGTCTCAACCAGTCGTTTTCCCCCAAAAGATAGTGAGTGAGAAGCATATTCTGAATTGTCCTCCTCAATCCGTGGCTGTATTACTGGGTGGGCCCCATTGGCCATTCCGGAAACCCACCCAAAGGCTTGCGGCTCCCATCCTTCTACAGCTCTGACACAAGTTTCCAGTCAGAGTGATTTGCCAAGCTTCCCAGCGGAGAAGTCCCAACTCTCAATCCAAGACTCCATTTTTCGGTGCGAAGAGGGTGGACCATTTTTCGGGTTCGAAGTTCTTTGGGATCCACCTGTTCGCCGGGTTCACCCTGTTCACCCGAGGCTATGGACTGGGCTTCTTCACTGGCACCTTGGTCACCGCCTATGCCGCGCGGCTCCTGTTGCCCCGGCAGATCGCCTGGGGCGCAGTGGCCTTAGAGGCGCGCGGGAGGGTCGGGAGAGGCGGAGAGGTCGCGTTGGTTGGTTGGTGGGTTGGTGGGTTGATTGGAGGTGACATGTTTAGGAGCACAGGAAGGATCAAACATGATCAAACTCTCCATGCCAACGTCCTATATGCTAGTTTTGGTGTGCTTCGGTGATGAACTGGATCATGGCGATCCTTTCAACGAGCTCTGTGAGAAGTTGGCCATTGTTCGATTTGACTCAGATTCAATGGATGATTGCACTCGCGAATGGCCTAGAACTTCAGCGGTGTCTACAGGGCTCTTCAGCCGTGTGCAGGATTTGTCACAGCTTTGTTGAGTCGGCAATAATTACTTGTATGGTCCTTCTTCCAGGGGTTCTTTGAGAGGTCTCCCTCACACACACAGACAGACACCTAGAGTCAATACTGACTATCAGACAAGATGGCAGCTAGCGCTCAATGTATGACGGGATACTGATAGTTGAGGGGTCAATGTAGGTGTCGATTCCATATGTTTGAATGATTTCTATATGTTTGCAACGGATGCGGTTGAACTCATGTGACGACCTGGCTTGATAATGAGTGCAGCGCAACGGAGATGCTTTTGGCCTTGTGGACCACATACCCGTGCCAAAAGTCAAAGCCAAAAGAACAAAAACACATCAGACAGTGTCAGAAAGTCAAAAGTCAAACAAAAGCCAATTGGCTGGCCCAGATCCGACTTCTTTTTTGGACAGCGTTTTGTTTGTTTTGACTGTTGTCCAACTTGTTTTTTTGACTTTTATTTGACATTGTTTTGGACTTGTTTGAGTCATTTCGTTATTTAGACTTTTTTGCGACTTTCTTTTCTGACATGATTTGTTTGATTTGTTTCGAGTTGTGTCTATTTTGTTTACGTCTTTTCTGACTTTTGACTTTTTGTGTGACTTTGTTGGGACTTGCTCGAGTTGTTTTCTAAGTTTGACTTTTCAATAGATATTGATTTACGATCGTTTTTTTTAATATAACATATTGTTTAAGTATTTTCTGTTTTGTTTGACTTTTAATTGGCTGTTTTGACTTTGACTTTTCCATTTGACTTTTTGGTTTTGGCTTTTATTCGACGTTATATAATCAAGAGATCCTGCCCTTACCGTATGAAAGAATATTTTAATTCTACAGCCTGTTCTACAGTGACACAGTCAGCTCCTCCGGTGTTGCCTTCGTGAAAAACACCGGTAGCACCCGACGAGGCCAGTGTCCTGTCCACGGTACTGGCGCTCTATCCCTCCGGCCACTCGACCGAACCGGGCGGACATCGGAAGCGACGCCAACTCGCTACGAACGGAGCGGTCGGACGCTACGAATGGGGCTCCTGGCATCGCTACGATCGGAGCATCAGTATGAGAATGGCTGCTGCGCTCGGTGCAAACGAAAGGCTCCAAAGGACTCAAATTTAATTGTATCCGGTCAATGAGCATGTCCGTTTGAGGGGACAGGGTGAGGTTCATGTGGAAGCAACACACATGTTTGTAGGGAAGCGATCATCCAATGAATCATCAAATGAATCATTGAAATGTTGGGTTCTAAGTGGTGAAGAGGGGTGGTCTCTTGGGGTCTAAGCCCATCATTCAAGTTGTTGTCTTTTAGAGGAGCATCCTACTTCAATGCTTTAACTACGCAATTGCAGGGGTCATTCTGGTTGGGTCTACTCAGTCTACTCACTATCTATTTGAGCAGCAGGCAATCGCAATCTCATGTTTGCTATAGGTGAGTACTCCGTCGAAGAGCCCAAGCCGGCGGCGAGCTTTTGGGAGATTCTGCAGCGCCACTTGCCGGGAACCTGACTGACCTGATATTTTTCAGGGCACCCAAAGTATCGTCTTCTGTTTTAACAGGTGGTTCTGTTTTGTTTTAACATGTTTTAACGGGTCAAGATGAGTGAAACCATCTTGGTTTTGATGTTGAAGTTGTCTTTTTGTTATATAATAGTCTTCTAGTCATTCTGATTCTAGTCTTTGGAGATCAACACCCTTGAACCCACGATGAACGCAACTGAATTTGTCATGCCCCAGGTGTTGTTCTTCTTTTTGTGAAACTTGAGGGTTCCAATGTGTTTTGCCACCTCCTTCTCGGGTTGCACCCGATGCAGTATATAGTGGCTGCGGAAAAGAGGGCGGGCTTGCTCTCAGCACGGTTGTGGACCTTTGAGACCCTTCGAAGCAGAAGAAGACCACCCACTTTATCGATGTCAACCATGACAAGTCAAACGATGTGAAACGGATCCTTTTTTTGCTAGGTTGTAGTTGATCCTTTGGTCCTTTGGTCTTCAACTGATCCTTCCACATTTGCATGCTTCTTGTGTACCTGGAGCGGCGTTTGTGGGGTGAAGACGAAGACTTTGGATTTCCAAGGGTTATCGCGGAGCCCTGGCAAGCCGCCTTGTGCCAAGGCACAACAGAAAAAGCAAGTCCTGAGCCACCCCGTTAACAAGAAAGATGACGACTCTTGATTAATAAACCCCCGCGGGAATTCTATTAATAGAGTCCACAAGTGAGTCTTATTCACATTTGCATTGTGAAGCTGATTGAAACCTGAAAGCGTACAACGGAAGAGTGGCCTTTGCATGGTTGGCTGACCGCTGCGTCAAGCATGCGCGTGCTCAGCCAAGCCCTTGTCAGACTTGTCAGTGCGTTTTCAGCGCGCTTTGCGGGTTTTCTTTGATCCTGCTGTATGTATATATGTTACTCTTTTGGTCCTGCGTTGTGTTTGAGCAGTATATAGCAGAAGTGGCAGTATGGCCCTTTTGAACATCGCACCCTCTCACCCAAGCAGCGCCAACTTGATGCAGTGTGCTCTTGAGTGTACTGTGGGATACCTCTCACTGAACTGCATATTGAATTCGTGGTTTCAATATGTGTCAATACCCAGACACTCCACGGGACTGGCATGTTATTTACCTACACTCACCCCTCTAAAATACCACCCCAATGTACGCATATATGCCAGTCCCATTGGTCTTGTTTGGGTACAGTAATATGTTTCAATTGCAAGCAAACCTGGAGCCTCTTTGGTAGCTTGACCTCCGGTAGGTCATTCATTTTCTGGGGTCAACATGCAATTGTCTCGAAATCCTCATTTGTTCAAACATTTTGTGGACTCAGGACCTCACGTTTGGTCACTGGTGCTCTCGAAGCTGTCGACCTCAGCAGCAGGCGGACCGGCGTGACCGGTCCCGCGGCTCCAAGCACCGTTCGCCTGAACCGGTAGTCCAAGCACCGCAGCGAACGCGTCACCGCCTGTACCATGTTTTAGAGGCTCTATTTATCTAACCAAATACAGTAATCAAATCAGTCATGATCTATGATCTATCATGATCTATCTGTATTTACACGCTTGTGGACACACTACAATTAACTCTTGATGAGATTAGCCGTACTGCAGGACCCCTTAAAACTGACCGAGACAGCCCTGACAGTTCTCCGGAAGGCGGAATGCTGCTTTGCATGATCACCCAGTTTGCAATGGATTCTTAGCCGTGCATTGGACAAACCCGACCCGCGGTCGGACACTACGCCCCAGATGGATCTTTGATGTGTTTGGCCCACCTGCAGAAATGACTAGAGCGACAAAACTGGATGCAACTAGCACTGGGATTACGGTTACAACGTGCTTCACGTTTCTTCACTTCGCTTGTTGAAGTGCTTGGAAGTGAGGTTTCTGTTCTTTGTGGTTCTCCATTGCTTGCTGGTGGAGTACAGGGAGTCAATGCCCTTTGCGTGTGTTCGGCCACTTAAATCACTGATCCTTAAGGCCAAAACAAACTTGCTGCATCATGTGGCACCATGTTAGAGTCCTTCACACACAGAGTCATAGAGGTTGTGCCCTTCAAAACACGGGGGTTGAGGCCTCATCCCAAGCAGAGATCTCAGCCATGGATGGCTCTTAGCTCTTGGTGTTGTTTCTTGGGATCCCAAGCAACCCATGGCTGGTTTTTGCGAAGGAGCAACACGTATGATCAAAATCCTTGCATATGTTTGTGGCCTTCTTGACCAACCGCGTAGGATCGCGTAGGCGTAGCAACATGTTGACCCCATTTGATCACAATATTGAATTCAAATGATCCCCAATTCCCAACCAAAATATTTTCATTTTGCTGCCCGAAGGGTTCGCGCATGGGCAACAGACTTGGCTTATTGTGGGTCAACTGGTCAACTGCATGAGATTCACCACCTACCATCCCCCGCTGCAACTGCTCGCTCCCGTGGGCGCCCCGCTCGCCCAGGACCCTTTCAACTTCTCTACAGCGCAGACCAGTGTGCTCATGGCATATGTGGCCGGGTGCAAATTGAGGATTGTTTTGGAAAGAAACAAGAGTGGTCTTTCAATTGGAGGGGCCAGAATAGGCCAGGGTATGTGGCCGAAATGCAAAGATGTACAGTACATATGTGGCCAGGACATCTCCAATCCTAGGCTGAAGGCCAGATGAAATTCGCGAGTTTGGTGGAGTGAATGCCCTTGTGTTCTAGGGCTGTGGGCCTTAATTGCTTGGCTGGCAACATTTTAAGGGCTCTCCTTTGCAGGGGGGCCTTGAACAGGTTTCCGACTGTAGGCACTTTGAATCCAGTTGAATGACAGGAAGGTGGAGAACAGGAACCCCGTCAAGATCCGGCAAGTATTTGGATTGGAAGTTATCCAGACCCAATTTTTCCGTAATTCCAACCGTGGGCGTTGCCATAAACTGTTTGCAGGATGAGTGCCGCGCGGGGGCTCGTGTGATTCCTAGAAGAAGAAGAAGAAGAACCAGAAGAAGAAGAAGAAGAATCCCATCCAACCTCAAACAGTTCATACCAGGACCCCCGATGCCGGCCCGTTGAGGGGTGTCAATACCCCGCTGTTGAAGGGAACCACTCCGACCGTGGGTCGTGGTTATATAGACTCCCAAATAGATAGAAATGTAAAATCCCTTTCAAAATCTATTGGAAACCGTGTCCATCTATTTGGGTACCACTCTATATGTCTACCTCCCAAAATGCGAAAGCCGAGGTGAGTGGCATGCAGCTCCTCTCTCAGGCCTTCCTTTTCCGGCGATCCAAACGACAGCGGCGGCGGCGTGACGCCGATCGAAACGACTCCAACGGACAGAGATGATGAAACGATTTCTTCACTGGTTGAACGAACTACAGTAAGAACGAAAAACATAGGATACGAAGATATAACAATATTGTGATATTGTGAAGCTAAGCATATGTCGAGTTTTGACTGTTTATGGGTTTGGTGTTTCTTCGAAGTGATGGACATGCAAGATAACATAGACGTTGGGCAGATCTCCATTTGCAAATCGGGAGGTACCCAAGTTTTGGAGGTTTGAATTTGTGTTGATTCTTATATAATGGTGCCATCTTATATACGGCTTCTTGGCGGCAAGCGCATATGTACATCTGTCGGGTGGGAGCACTGCAGCACGGATTCACACTGCGAGACTAGAGAAGTTTGCAGACCACAAACTGGATCCAGCACATTCCAGCACCATTCTCGCAGCTTCCAAATCTGTTGAGGTACCTTCCCAAAATGGATGTTCACCGTGCCATTCTTGGGGGCACCATTCTCGCATGACATGAACGCTGTGCATCGACCGGTCGCTCTGAGACCTTCGTGGTGCCACACTTGGGGCACTTGGGGCCCAAAGCCTTGCGGCTCAGCTCCGCCGGAGCTTTGCTGTCACTTGGTTGAGAGTCTGATCCGGTGACCATCCCAGTCCCCATCTACAACTCTCACATGGTACAGCTCAAGAACGGGACATAGGCAACTGAAGACCCGTGCGAATGTGATGGTCTTCTCAGGCTGATGTGCTGTTGCCAACTCAAAGAGGAGTAGACAGTAGACACATGTAGACACTAACTAACTTTTGATTGATTGAACACTTGGAGCGAAGAACAAGCCATCAGACCGGCCACAAACCGACCAACCGATCATCAAATGAATCATCATGCTTGGTATGTTTGGTTTCTCGTCCGAGGTATTGCCAGACTACTCATGGCTCAGCGGGTTCTCATTTTGTGGGAAGAGCTCTTTAAATTGGTGGCTGAGAGGCTGAGAGCCCATAACTTGCTGGGCACCCCCGCCACTGTGGAAGGTCCAATCCAGATACAGTTTAAACTTGGGCTGTAGGGGAACTTTGTTATGAACCCCTATTGAGGTGATGAATTATTAAGCCATGTCAAGTTGTAGCCCAACTGATTTTCGACAAGCAAGTGTAGACCTCACCTCGAATGTTTTGTTGAAAACATGATCTCACTGTCGTTTTGTTTGTGCCGTCATCCATGCCGTCATCCATGCTGTCATCCTTTGGACCAGCAGATGAGGCGACCATTTCGGTGAAAACACATGGATCGAGGTGAAGCCACGTCCCACGAGGTGAAGCGCGTTTTGCGCAGTACCTTCGCCGTCATTGCCATGTGGGGGGGGTGACCATGTTTTGGAAGAACATGTGTGATTTTGCCATGTATTTACATGTTGTAACCCTAGGGTTCCAAGCATATCCTCAACGGAGGTAGGCCAGGAGCCCTAGGGTTAAAAGCATCTACCGGCGCCCCCTGTGGGGAAGTCTAAGAAAGGTGCCTTCGAGGTGATTCGGGGTGTTCATGAAGCACCCCGACCGTGGGCCCTGGTAGAACTCCAGGTGATCGTCAGGATCGTCCCCGCCCAGGGTGCCCTTGCTGGGCCTTTGGGCCAGTGGCTCCAGCGCGTTGGGCTACTGCGTCTCTCAGATGAAAGGGAGACTGGTACGATTTGCTAGGCTTGAAGAAGACAGGCCATCAAGGTGGTCCATTGGTTTCTCGATGTATCATCGCTACTGAATATCATCCTTGGGAGTGATATCGTCGATCGAGGTGTGACTTGGACACAACACGCATAAGAAAACCCTTGAAGGTTTGCGTCATCTGCGTCATCCGTGTCATCCATTTTTGGGACTCTGCGCCCTATCCATTTTGTAGCTTTGGCTTCCAAAACTCCCAGCAATCGATGGGGGGTGAATGAAGAAGCCAGAGTGCATCTCTGCCGAAAAAGCCCACTTCAAGTGAGCCAAGGCTTTGGGTGCTTCTGGGGCTGAAATACATTGGTTTGGATTTGAGTTGTTCTTCTTCATCTGGAGGTTGTCAACTTTAATTTACAGTGATGGTAACTGTAAGCAGGATACACCAGTCAATAAAGCCAAGTGATCCCATTGAAGTTCAGGAAGGGACAACAACAACAACTGCATGATGTCACAATTGATGTATTCGTCGACGGCAAACTAAACATTACTATGGAATTACAATTCCATCGGTTCAGCTTCAGGCTCAGCCTCCGCAATTTTGGCGGACTTCCACCAACCAACTCTTCCCAGATTCTGTACAATGACATCAATGACTACCCTAAGACAGTGGGTGGGGTGGACCATCTTCTTAGGTGAAATAGATGCAAGCTCCAAGTATTTGAGAAAAGCCCTGAGCTGGAGGTTTGGATGGGTCCGCTGGCTGCTAGTGGCTATGGGGGCAATACGGCGCTGGGCAGCCGCTCGCCAGCAAGCGAGTGCGAAAAATCTGGGCCGCCGCAAGCGTCAGTGGTCTAAGAAGGGTGGTGACACACCAGGAGGATCGAAGCCTCAGAGGTCTTTTGTATACGGTGTTTTGGAAGCTTCTAAGGAAGAAACAAAGAGCATCCGGGTTAAAAAAGGAAAAGATGAGAAAATAGTAGAAACAAGGGGTTGGAATGAAAAAACCTGGGAAGTGATCACAAAAATAGGGGGGTGACTGAGTCCAAACAAGATCAGCATTCCCCATATGTCCATGAAGAGCCTTGCCACAGCTTCCCCGTGGTTCATGGTGGTTCTATTCCCGGACCTTGGAATCGGTCAAGACAAGTCAATACTCCATCAGTCTTCCCATGGGTTGTTTTTTGTGGAGGATGAACATGATGAAACATGATGAAAGGTCTGAAGTGAGTGTATGCTGTTATTCTCAGTGCATCCAGCGATGCAAGTTATTCTTCTGTATTCTCTGCGAATCCAGCGTATCCGAGTTTGACCAGTGTGGTACGAGCTCTTCCTCCGACCAACAGTAGTGGGAATCGCGCGAAACCGCAACTGAGTCAGACGCATTTGGTTTGGGAAATTGCTCTATGCACATGGTTTCTAAATTGTTTTTGACAATGTACCACTTTAGTCGTCAGTACCATTGCCATTGCTGTTGACAAGCGCAAGTTGGAAAAAGTTGGGAACGACATAGGACGACTGATCCTGGTACGACCCCATAGTCTGTCATGAAACCCTTGTGGCAGAAAAAAGAGGCAAATTATATACTATATATTCCTGACTGTGTTTTAGTGTTTCTATTGATTGCCAGCAGAGAAAGGCGAAAAAGGACAAGACAAAAAAACGGTCTGCAAACTTCCTTCACAATCCTGTCTTTAGGTCGCTCGCTAGGGCCATGTGTATCCAGGTGTAGAGGTGTGATGACAACGAGCTAGCGAGCCAGAAAAACGATAGGTAAACTCGGGTAAACTTGCCACAAGCTGATAACTTATAACTATTCTGTAGGGCTCCTGGTTCACATCCTCAGAAGGTAGTTAGTCCCCATCCTGTGGTAGTCTGAGCCAGGAGACTCCGTCTGAGCTTTGAATCGATCGCTGCACGCCGATCGATCTGGTAAGACACCGGTCCACCGGTCCTCCTCGTGAGGCCTCATGTCCTGCTTGGCACCGGAGAGCGAGTCAGGCGTTGCTGGATGTCGCGAACTGGTTGGGAGGGATCCCACAGCCAAAGCCTTAGACCAACAAACATCCAAACTTGGGCTTGTACCGGCAGAACAAGCTATGCCCTCTTCAAGCTACGTGATGAGTGACAAACTCAATGAGTCCAAGATTGATGAACATTGAGAGAACAGATGTTGGATGGACTGTTGAACGGCTGAACCCGCATGGTGCCAAACAAGGAACTGGCTCCATGCCACTAGACGTCAGCCCAGCCACTTTTCAGATGGTTGGAAGTCACTTGCAAAACCTGTTTGTTTTGGACATTAAGCTTGTGTAATCGGCAAAGAAAACAACAATTGAGTAGAAGCAATGGCCTCCAACCGAATAGCAATGGTTTGATGAACATATTGAGATTGAACAGCCGTTATTTGTCCGCATCGGAGTAAACGGCTCTTTAAGCTCAAGTGTGGCCAGCTAGTACGATTTCTCGTCAGAAGAGAAAGACACCCAAGTGGTCATGAATTGTACTGGATCTTGACAAGCATGTTTTTGCTATATATAACCTCAGCCAGGGGGAGCTAGGGTTAGCAAATCATTATATGTATTTATATATAAATAAATATTATATACCTGTCTTGAAAACCTATGGTGTTTCTATTTGGCGTGGAAATTTGTAAGTGTAAGGTTTACCAAGGAGATATACTGACTGATCCACTCAGACAGTAGTTATGCTTTTGTAAATGAGGATATGATCATTCCCCTGGAGTGAGCTGATTCCAGGGTCCAAGTGAACGGACACTCATCAGGAATTATTGGGTGCTAAAGGTGGGTTGAAGAGAGATTGAGCAAGCAGCTCAAAAGACCAGTTGATTTGACCGCCAGCTCCAGGACTGATCTCAAAGCAAGGTTCCAGAAATAAGTCAGTTCAGGGTGCCAGAAACAAGTGATACTCTGACAGCGTGTAGTTCCTCAATTCACCCTGTCAGAAAGAGTGGAAAACTCTGTGAGAAAACCAGGGGTGGGAAATCAGGTTTGATGGCAATTCGGCGAGCCAACTTTGACGTACGGCGATTTCTGACAAAGATGTCGTAGACATTAACTTGACTTTGGATGCTGCTTTGGATTGGAGCCAGGGCAAAGTTCAACATGCTTTTGAGCCTTGCACTTTGGCGGAAACACGTTAAACTCCTGCATTGGATGCTAGAGTGAATGTGGCACATGCCAAGGGCGAGTTTAAAGTGAGTTCTGTTTGGCCACCAGAACAGACACATTGCCAGAGGGCTTCAACATTGAGTTGCTAGCCTCTTTGTTGGAACTTGATTTTGCAGAATATGCACAAAGCCCGCTTACTTTTCGGGATTTCACTGTTCTTAGGTGACTCAACCGAAGCGAAACAAACCCACACTGTTCTTAGTTTCACCCATTCCGAAGCGGCTATACACGATTCTATTTACAAGCATGGCGCATAAAAATCGTCCGGGGGCAAAAATTGGCGATCGAGTCGCTCTCGTCGGGAACATCGGCGGAAGGCTCTCGCGTCCGCGATGCTCGCGGGCAGGCAGCATGGTGGCGCTTGGCTTGGCACCCTTGAGCTTGGGTTTCATGCTGGCTCCCATCATGTCCAGCTGGGTGCGCCGGCGGCACAGCAGTTTTTTGGGCAGACAGTTTTGGGCGGTGTTGGGGGAAGAAGGCAGGGCAGTCTGGAAGATGACTACTGGCTGATGGGTCAATCTTTGTTGGAGGGGCTATGCTGCAAAAACAAACATTGGCATGTAAAGACTGATGGGTATTCTCTGTATACCTGATCTAAGAGCCAGCGCACGTTTGTACTTGAACAGTTGTAGTAGCATTGACAGACATAGCCGCCATGGCCTACTTACCTTGAAGGCAAGTCATGAGTGCCACACCAAAAATGACCTTGGGCGAAGAGAAACCCGTAGTGGCCTGCAGATTGATTGGAATTGTGACCTTCCAGTAGGTATCAACATTGTGACCTTGTCCGATCAACCTAACTTGCACCACGGGACCAACTGCAACCACATGAATACCCTGTGCATTTTCACGTTCATTTGCATTGGACGGATGTCGTTACAATGTTCATTGCTGCAGGAGAACTCGTCCATCACTCACCCCGAACTCTTCGAGAGTATTATATATTTATATATATATATATATGTTATATAGTATTTGATGTTATACACAAGAAGAGACGAAGGAAAACGGTAAACGCAACATGTTATATCATTTGGACCACTGAGGAAAGGAAACTGAGACTGGGGTTCTACCCTGATTTGCTCTTTCGAGCCTGTGAAAGCCACAGAAATGCGATGGCGCACGCCGCGTGCCCAGTTGAAATCCACAGGGTGCAACAGACAGCACAGCGCTCCAGGTCTACCAACACTTTGGCTTCCAAGCAGTGCCAGCAGTGGCTGCTGCCATGTTGTGGCTCGGCGGCATGGATCGGTCGAACGAACACGGCCGGTGAGTGTAAGGCAAGAAGGCAACAAGGCCTGGTCAGAGTTTACCTGAGTTTACAATAACAAACACGCGAGCAACAGGGATGATGGCCCCAACAGTGGATGAGCAACAGGGTCCACTGGTGGATGAATGCGAGCCAGTTGGAGTTGCAAAGCTCGTGGATGTGTCATTCTAGGTGGAACTTCCCATCACAAAGAATTCTACACGGAGGTGAATTGGATGTGAAGCTCCTGGATGTTGTTTTGTATGTTCTATCACGCATCTAGGACAAACTTCCCGTCCAGAACCAGCTGAGGTTCCAACCTGCTTGAGGAACATCATTGAAAAAAGATGTGAGTTCCAGAAGAAATCCAAGCGGGACGTATACCTGTTCCACCCCAACCCCATCCAAACCACGAGGTTTTCAGGAAAACGATCCAACCCTCGTGGCGCCACGGCTTGGGGCGTCCCCTCACGCCTTCCACCTGTGCCAGAGGTGCTGCGCCACTGCAGCCATCGAGGTATTGGACTCGATGGACGCGGAGGAGGAGCAGAGCGACCGAGCTTCGGAAGGTAGACGGTTTGATGAAGAACATTGAAGAACCCATATTGTACCCACTGCAATTGGGATTGTAACACCTCTTCAGTTTTTGTTTCATCAAGAGTCTAGAAAAAAGTGGGGTGTCTTCAAGTGTTTTCCGCTTAAATAGGGTGATCATGGGTGATATTTGAGACATTGAAAGTTGATGAGCACTATGTCTAAACGTGTCTAAACGTTGGCAGGTGAGTACCCAATCCACTCAATGTTCACCAACGGGCACAATTCTTAGGTTAGATGTCCAAATCCTCTGCCCGCCCAACCAACATCCTGAACCTTCCATTGATACAGAAATTTCTGACAAACTGCTACTTTGATACGGAATTCTTGCTTTTGAGCGTTTTTCATATAAATGAGCGCTTTTTGAAGATATACCTTCAAATGAGCGCTTTTTGGGATTTTCATCTTTTTGAACATTTGGAACCCTTTGAATGCATGTATGTGCATTGTGCGCTCGTCCACGGCGCTTCTTCAAAGGCCACCAATAGGTGGCTCCAGCTTTGGACCTCAGGTGGGCGCAGGCTCTCACAAACATGGGGCTGCTACAAAGAACCGCTGCATCATGCTGCATCAATTTCAGATTTTCACAAGAAGATCGGGGACATGATACGAGTTTGGCCCAACGAGAAAGGATAAGCGCACCCGGCACCTATCAAAACCTTTCTAGGGGTCTCGGTGTCCAAGCTTGGCAAACCCATGGTGGCCTGACTCTCCAGGGCAGAGGTGCCACTGCATGTTTAGTTGTTTTTGGTGAAGCTTTGCAGAGTGGAGCTAGTCGCCCAAGTGCTCTGAAATTTGGTGCCACACTGCAGGCCTGCTCTGGTTCAAGTTAGCATGCGTGAACGCATGTATGCTCAACACGCTTCAACATATGCACACGTCACACGCATCATGCATTGCATGTGTTTGCACGTGCGCATGCAACTTCCGGTCTACTTCCTGTAGCACACAGCCATGCCTCTGGATGTTGGCCCCGTGCTGGTTGAGTGGATGAAATTTGATGATCTCAAGACTGCGGCTACGCATGGCAGGTTGGTGGATGTGAAGCTAGATCTTACTCCACAAACCGCAGAGTTGTACAAGCTTGTGCTTGCACCAATAATTATGCACTTGGGCCCCTCGCATGTATGGTTCTGGAATGGTCCCGCAATGTCCCGCACCATTGTTTTGATGTCTAAAGGTAGATCAATTATCTTGTGCTGGACGCAGCCAAGGTTTGAAGCCTAGCGTTGATGTTATGGTGGATCTTGTTGATCGGTTCCTGGCAACCAACAAGCCTTTTGGAAAGGTGCATGCGACAAGCTACTTGCTTGCTAAGGCTTGTGCTGTGCATCTTATGGGTAGGCGTTGTGGAGGTTTGTTGGGCTACCGGGCTACCAGTACTAAGGCTCAGTGATCAAGAAGCAGGCATGGTTCCTACGAATGCTGATATGCGCTTGGTCTCGTTGGGCCAAACGTGGATCTTGTCCACGATCTGCTGGTCAAAAAAACGCTTTTTGATGCAGCTGGGATTCCATGGCCTGAGAGAGCCTTGGCATGATGCACCTCTTATATGTCTCAAAAATATATCCCAATAGATGCAAAGTACAAAACTTTTGTGAAGGGGTTTCATGTCCTTGATACCTCCGCCAAGGATCTGAGCGTGGGTCAAATTCCACACTCACGGACGATGAAGATGCAGAAGAATTGTTAGGGGATGAAGGCGAAACAGGAGAAGAAGAACCACTAGAAGAAGATGAGCCTCTTGAGATTGAGGACCTCGAGATGTCTAGCTTTATATAAGTCGCTGTTTCTACTACATGTCATGCCTTTTGCCCCTGACATTGTATAGGATCGTGACCGTGACTCTGCACCTGTCCCATCTGAAATGGTGGCTCCTACAAGCCCGAACCCAAGACCTCTCTGCATAGGTTCACAATCTATAGATTGAAACCCACCCCCGCTCGAGCTTGCACGAGGTCCCGGACCTGCGCTGGAAATTGGTGGGCCTGCCAATGGAGGCAGGCTGATCAAAGCTTGGCTTTACTTATGCATGGTAGAAAACAGCTGTAAGTTTGTTGGGCCTCCACACACTACACTGACAGGACCATCTTTGGCGGCCGAGAGTGGTGACACTGTTTTGCAAGAGGAGTTGAAGGCATTGCAAACCATGGAAGAAGAGTTGGCTCAGCTTACCACTCTTTTGGAACGTCAAAAATCCCTCACCACTTTGGATGAAGCTTCAGCACATATGATCGGAACTGTCAGTAACGTATATGCAATTATGCAATATGTTTTGTTTTGGGTATCTTTGATGTTTAACTCACTTACCTGGATCCTTTCTAAGGTATAGATCATGTGGAGACTTTGCCACTGGGTACTCAGCTGATGGAAGATTTCGCAGCTGAAGAGTCAAGTCGACCTTTTGACCCAGCCCTGCCACCTGAGCCTAGGCAACCGTTCGAGATTAGGGCTGAAATGATTCGAACAAACCGTGCCAAACTGCCAAAAGAAAAAGAGGTTCCAAATGGAACCCCAACTGATGGAGGTTCCAGCCCAATTGAGGTAGACACTGATGAGGAAGCCAAAAGACTTGAAGAAATGAATCCAATGGATACTTTGGTACCGGGGTGCCCAACTCTTGAACAGCTGTTGCCTGAATACCGTGCCTGCAAAGAACATTGGTCAAACAAACATGCAGTTGAGGGCACTGTTGAGGGCCAGCCCTTGTCCACCTCCGACTCCGCCCTGCTTGCCTCAAATGAAAAGGCTTCTGAGGTGGATGCGGAGGTCAAGGATCCTGAACCGAGCGCAGCTTCCGAGCCTATTGACTCCAAGTCTATTGGTCAGAGTGGTGAGAAGGCGGGTTTTTGTTTTGCATGGTTATGTATGCATGCAGGGACGCTAATACCTGCGTATGACTCACGAATGTGATATGCGTAGGTATCCACATCTACATCCACGTCTATGGAGGCCTTTATCCGTGGCATTACGCCCATCTCCCCGAAGGAACAAACAGAGCTCACAAAAAAGGAAGGCAAAGGCAAGGGAAAGGGTAAGAAACGACCTAGCAAGAAACAACAGGAAGAAACCGGTGAGGATGAGGATGAAGGTGAAGGGGATGATCAACATGAGGGGGATGAGCAAGATGGGGAGCAAGATGGGGATGATCAAGGAATGGACGAGGAAGGTCCTGAGAAGGTGTCCGATCCAACCAAAGCATGCCCCAAGTCCAAGGCGAAGGCAAACAAAAGCAAGGAGCCAACAGCCAAACCCAAATCCAAAAAGCAACAGGCAACTGAGGAACCTAAGCATGAGGAGCAGCCAGCCAAAGGACCAAAGCAGCCCAAGGCAGCCAAAGCCAAAGCC